TAACATAACGCTAACTCAATAAGAGAAATGGGCATGTCAACAGGTCACTTCAAAGTAAGGAAAGCCACACAGAGGGCTAAATAATTGTAGCTTGGCCGACTGACATTTAATGCGGGCCATTATTTAGTTAATCATATAGAATTTATTAGCATTAAGTTATCTATTAATGAATGTTTGAACTATGCAGTATTTAACTAATTAAATTAAATACGTCATAAATGCAAATGTGTATGAATTTAAAGGCACACAACAAACGGATGATTTGCGCTTAACACATTCGTGTTTTGCGAAAGAAAAGTTATTGGAAGTAGTCAAGCTAAAAAGCAAATACAATGACGAAATCGGTCAAAAATGAGAGCAAACAAAGTATACAGCAGCTGAGTCATAAGTGAATAAACAATCAGCAGATAACAAGTGAGAGCTGTGCTGTCGGGCATAAGCGACTGCAGAATACCCTAATGCCAGTGGAATACCAGCTGACAACAGCTTTTCAATTTGCAAGCTCTAACTCTAAAACTAAGCGAGATGCTCGTACGTTTGAACGTTTTGTGGGGATTGAACTTGGGGGCTTGAATTGTCCATAGAATATATATTATAAGTCTTAAGAGTATAGCTTCAAGGCAATGTATATCTACCCAAGGCAATGTATATCTACCCAAAACCGGTATACTCTGCTACCCCTTGTATTAGAAAATTAAAATTCACAAACTTGTGTGCAAAAGATCAGTTGGTAGTTTTGTGTTAAATACTCCCACCCTTTGCAACACATTGTTTCACATGAGTCTCATAAATCAATGCTAATTACACCCGAAGAGGCATTCAACTTTATTTACTTGAAGGTTATGCATATCACGTATACGACACATGGCACACCCTGAAAACGAACTAACTGCAGCTGTTGGCATTTGATTAAAACAGATGTAAATTGTGCTGTTCTCAAGTGCTCAAATAATATTTGATTCCACGCCACAAAAATACAAAGTGCAACACATAAATGAGGATGCCAATGAAATGTCCAAATGTAAAATGAAAATGTGTGCCAAGTGAACAAAATGACAGACAAAGAAACAATGGCAACAAAAATAAATAATAATTAAGTGCCAATGTGATGGTCAAGACAAAGAGATACCCTCCAACTAAAGATAGATACAAAATGTACTAGTTGAAAGGGTTTCGAAAGTTATGGAATTTGTATTAGGTATGAGTTATGAATCTGATACGATATCATCAAAGAAAAATGTAGCAAAGCTGAGTAATATCCTAAAAGACACTTTGCACAGCTGCCTGTTTTTCAAATGTAAATTGATGCTGCCGAAATGCTATGAAAAATGTATTTATGTGTTGAATATAGATACAATTTTGAATAGCAAATTTTACAGGGTAACGAAATAGCTACTTAAGTAGCTACTAAACCCAGCGAACGCAACAAAAATAAACATTACTAATAATTGAAATTCCAAATCGAATCAGCAACAGGCCAAAAGTCACTGGCAGTCTCAAAATGCTGATAGAGAACATCTGCTCGCTGCCAAAACAATATACAATAAAAAAAAACATGCATATATAATTTCAAGAATCTATCTATATATAATTTTATCTATTTTATATGCCAATACGATGCGTGCCCAGCAATCGAATTGGTTTTTCAATCTTTTTTGGTATTTCATATTATTTCGTTTTGTTTTACAATGAGCAGCATTGTTGAACTCCAGCTGTCAAAATGTTTCTGTCAATATAAGCTGCAACACGTGTTTGTTACGCTCTACTCTTAGATTTCCAACTCTTCTCGCTCTCGCTCTCTCTCTCTCTCTCTCTCTCTCTCTCTCTCTCTCTCAAAAATAAGCATGTTCGCGAGATTCTCTTAAAAAGCCTTTTTCAGTTGCGATGATGCAATGCTTAACTTGTTTTATACTCGTCACTTGGCTAATTTAGGGAAAAATTCAGCAAAAAAAAACATGATCTAATGTTTATGGCGAATTCTGTGTCAAAAGAAAATAAGTGAATAAAAACTTTACATCTCTGTGAGAGCTAACAATTTTGAGATTAGATATATTATAGCCTTTCAGTTTTGTGGATAATATATTCTACATTAATTAATCTTTTTCCCAGCGTTCGTAGCTACGTTTTCCATGTACTTTCAATGCGCAATTGTTCTTTTTTCTGTAAACACATGAATTTTATTAGTTTGATTTAATGAGGAAATCAAGAATCACTCAAGCAGACTATTTTACAAATGTATACATATTAATCAAAGAAGTATAAATTTGTTTAATTCTACATTTCTTTCTGTTAACTGACCAAAAATAATTAGATATGCCACCTAGAATATACCCTACAATCAACAGGTGTGCACACTTTTTTGCCTTTCCTTGTCTGTGTGTACACACCGTAATCGGAATAATATCTCTGTGTTTTACTTATTTACAATTCAAAGTGTTATTTCTCAACTATTATGTTAAATAATACTTTGTGTCTGGCTGCTCTGTCTGAGCGTTTACAAGGCTTATCAGTGTGTAATGTGTGTGTGTGTGTGCTTACTTTTGTCTGGCAATGTGCTGTATTAAGCTACTGTAGCGCACCCTCAAGCAACACATTAGACATCTGCTCCGGGCAGTCATCTACTACTAAACTACTTTTTCATGCATACGCTTTTGCATGTTTATGCCTGCTACTTTTTTTTTATTGCCTGCTTTTTTTTTTTTTTGTCTAGCCGCCGTCTGTTTGCCTAAATGTGCGGGGGCAGCACTTGAGCTTTGCCGGTATTGCTCTCCCTATCTCTCTGCACTGTCTGCTTGTACATAAGTATGTGTGTGCTCGCTTGCTTGCTCTCATTAGCCCATATTATGTTGATGTGTTTGAATGAGAGGCGTTGACGTCGACGTCGGCATCGGCATTGTTGGCATTTTGGCATTCAAAACAGAACACACACCTACACTCACACACACACACACACACCGACACATTACAATGTACTTTTCTTTGTATGTGTGTGTGTGTTCGTTTTTGTTTTCATTGTTGCCGGGTTTTTGTCGAGAAAAATGGAGAATTATTAAGTTTTTGCACACGCTTAATTACGTCATTGTTGCAGCTCTTCTTTTTTTTCTTTATGGTGCGTGTGTGTGAATTAAGCTGCTTTTGTTTGAGTTGCTTACAAAAATTATTTTAAAAAGTAGTTACTTTCTTAACAGTGCAAATATTTAATGAATGTTAAGGCTCAAGTTCATTTTATTCTGTAACTTAAGTTGCACTATTTATAGAAATTTGATTTTTTCAATTATATATTTTTTACAAATTTTATATATTACTATATATATATATTTTTTTTTTAATATTTAGAATGCAATATCATTATTTATTGCGCTTAATTTACAAAGACATATTAAGAGTGGTGTATTCTTAAGCATAAGGCCAATTCCCTACAAATGCTTTTTCAAGAAGTCCTTAAGCTCCCCTTACTTTTCCTAAAGTGAATCGATTTTTTGGTTGTTCATGTTTTGTGGTCTAGAACAGTTCTGCTGCTTAAATTAAAGCCCCTATTTACTCTTGTCATATTGTAGTTATTATGAATTTGATTTTGTAATTCTTCTGACAGTAACAAGCTCATTTATCATTCTGTAAGCGAGTCATTTACTCTTGAGAAACCGAGTTTTCTGTTTTCTGTTTTCCTTTTTCCTGTTTCCTGTTGTAGAGCACTTGATGAGCTTCTAATTTGCTTGGTTTCTCAATCAACGATTGCAATTTGTTTTTGTTTTTTTCTAGCTAGACATTATCGCAAGCACATGCAAATAAATGCCATTAAATGTCAATCGCACATTTATCCATAAGACAGCTCCACTGTGTTCTATGTCCTATGTCCCGTGTCCTGTGTTCCGTGTCCTGTGCCCTTTTTCCCCACCCAGTAGTCAGAGCATAAAATGGCTAACACAATTGCTCGACTAATAAAGGCGCCTTATTGGCCAATCCCCCACATTGTCAGCAACAGCAACACACACATAAAAACACGCACACACACAAAGAAAAACACACATGCAATTACACACATAAAAGCCCAAGGCGGAAAAGCAAAATTGAAACTAACCCAACCCAAGTAAAAATAGCGTGCGACGTCGCGTCGCGTCAAATAATTGACTAACTGAGTGACTGACTAACCGACCGACTGACAGACGGACAGACTGACTACTGTTGTCTTGGGTCGGCAGGCGACTTGACACGCCCACAAAATTTATGTGTGTGCCTTAGTGATGGAAACGTGACAAGTTTGTTCGACTCAATTGTAGAGAGGTAACAATAGAGAGCAGTCTTCTCAATCTTCGATTTGATTAAATACCCTTGCAGCAAACAGTTCACCTGTCTATATAAATAAGAAACGAGTTCCTACAATTTAGTTTCGTTATTACTTTCATATGCGTGTATACCTCAATGAGTTGCAAATTATTGCTTGCCGTATTGAGTTGCTCTAAAAGCGAACACGACACAAGCACGCACGTGCTTCGTGCCTAAATCGTGTCACGTGTGCAACATCAGTTGGTCTTATCGCTTTTGGTCGCGCCCAACTCTCGTCGGCCAAAAACAGTTTGTTTGTCTGTTTGTTTTTTAGTTGTAATTAAAACCAAGTTAATGTATATAAGCCAAAGATTAAAAAGTTTGCCAGCAACTACTTAAAGCTTAAAGAGGGTGTTAAGGAGAGGTGTGTAAATGTGGGGCAGGAAGACGAGAATGTCAGGCAGAGTATCAGGCAGTCAGGCAGACGAGGAGGAAGGCAGGCAGGCGCAACAGGGAGGATTCTAGTGATGCCACTTTGCTTGCCTGCACTTTTTGCGCTGTGCTCTTCTTCCTTTTGCCAGTTGCCATTAGGCGCGACATGTTCTGACAGCTGCCGCCCTTGGTGACCGAACATAGTCCTTTCCACCCCCTTCCGCCCTTCCCCCAAAAAACGACGTCCATCCGACTCTTTTATCTAATATAATTTCTAATTTATTTTCTCCTCTTGGCTTTTCCAGCTGTGCTGCACTGCATGTGGCCGTTAGAAATTGCGCCTGCAAGTTTTATGAATGAGTCGACGTCGTCGAGCTTCGGGTCACAGGATCAGGCGACGGGGAGCAGCAGAAGCAGCAGCAGCATAGTTAACTCTGCTACATTCGCACTAGCAACCGCATTGAAATGGCCTTCAGCTATGCATGCCTCGTGCTGCAGCGCGTCGTTGTGCCGGCTGTGTTGGTCCTGGGTAAGTTAAACCAAATGAATATATATCAACCAATCCTTATCCATATCTTTTACAGCTTCGCTGATGCGTCCGGTGGGCATCTCGTTTGTGTACATGCTCATGTTCTTCTTGTCCCCGTTCATACCACTGGCGACACGACGCACTTTCAAGGGCTCTGTTACCGCCTTCTTTCTCATCCTGGTCGCCCTGAGCGCCTTCGTCCTGCTTGGTCACATTGCGTTGCAGGTGCTCGCAGTGAGCATCACACTGCCCATTTACGATTGCTCCTTTAGCGAGCAGTTGCTGCGACACATTGGCTTCATCAGTTTCCTTAATCTGAAGTAAGTGAAATGCTCGATTTAGCTTAAATCAGATTTTAATTGTTTTTAACTCTCTTTTGACAGACCCCTGGCCATTGCTGAGTGGCTAACGCCCGAGGTTTTGGTCTTTGCCACCTCGCTGGGCTCATATCTCAGCGTGAAGAAATTAGCCACACAGACCATCAGCGCTGAGCAGCTGGAGAATGGGGATCTGCCAGAATCTCAATCGGAGCACGCGGTCAGCCAGCAGGCGGGCAGCGATGCCAACGGAGCCGATGTGCAACAGGCAACGGCAACAACGCCGTTGCAACAACAACAGCAACAGCTGCGCAAACGCGTCTCCATGATAAGCCAGCACATACACTTTGAGGGCTTGATTAAGATATGTAAGTAAATTAAGAGTAAAGGTGGCAATATTATTGAAGCTCAGGATTCTATGAAAAGGAAGGATGGAAGAATCAATTATGGGCAACAAATGTTGCAAATGTTGTGAAGATGCTTAAGTTAATTAAGGCGAATCTATGTTGTTCATCTTTAGCTCAAAAGAGATGTCTCTTAACTTGATGTTATAAGCAAAAGCAGCTTAAGTAATAAATACCTAAGGGGAAGAATAGACTTAGATACTGGTTTGACTTTTGTTTAACTCAAGCCATGGTTTAAATTAATAAATGATATATTATTTTCTGGTAACTATGTTCTTTTGAAAGTTTAAGCCAAATTAAGTCTGTAGCATTTCTTTAATCTTATACTAAATATCCTTAAACATATAAGTATTCTGTAAGTGTAGAATATATAGAAAATATTTCATAAAACTGAACATAAGTCGATAAAATCATTAGTAATCTATTGGCGTATTTTGCTCCGCTTGGGATTAGGGAACCCATAGAAGAAGATTGTCAGATATTGTTCAACACTTGTTATGCTTTGTTATGCTTCAATAGGACTAAGCAGACTTCAAGCCAGACAAAACTCATTTAATTGCAAACCGTGTTTTGTGCTGTTAACTAATCCTTAAACTGTTTTTCTCGTTTCGCAGCTCCACTTTTCTGTTTGGCCACATTGTTCTTTGCGGCCGCACTGCGTCCATCGGTGCCGGGTGGCTTTTATTTTCTCATATTTCTGCTGGCGGGCACCTACTGGGCAACATGCCAGACCCTGCAACGGTGCGTGGCAACACTCTACCTATAGCTAGCTAACCCTTCTCTATCCCAGATGCAATCAAATCAATTTCACACCACATTGTGTATTTTTTCTCTTGTTTTTAGTGGCTTTGCTCTGTTGTTGCGTTGCGTGATGGTCGTCCTTGTGCTGCATTCGCTGTGCATTGTTTCCTATCAGACGCCCTGGATGCAGGATCATCTCAATCACACCAGCCTGACGGCACGGTAAGTCCAAGGTCCACACGGGCACATCCAACACTGTCTGGTCTAATCCATCGCTCTATATATATATCTAGTTTGATTGGTCTGGAGCCACTCATTGAGTCCACTTGCTCGCGTGATATACGCGTCCTGCTCTACAATAATACTTTGACCCTGGACTCGTATCTGAATCCATTTGCTGTCTTTTTTGCCTATTTTGCCATGGCGCTGACCACAAAACATCTCATCAAGCCCAGGGTAAGTTTGGAGCACGCAGTTTCCCTCTATACTTTTCTATCTGTTTTGCATACCAATGCAACGGGTAGTTCAGTTTGTGTCACGCATTGTTTAATATATTGAGGAAGACACTTCCAATCTCAAAATTTGTGTATATATATTTTTTTATTGGAGCAATGAGTCCGTCTGTTTGCACTCAAAATAACTATTGATACACTTTTTGTATGCATTTCTTGATCAAACTCAGGAAATATAATTTCGCTTTAAGCTCGCCATATTTAAATATAAAATCCATCTACTATATCACATAAATAATAAGCTGATATTGCAAAAGTTTTAATCTTCGGTCATTTCGAAGTTATTATATCTTTTCTGATTCATGTTTAAGTTTTTGAAACAACTAACATTGGATATATTGAAAAACTATTTCTATCTGATTTTCCTCTCGCTCTTTTCCCTTTCGGCTGCTCGCTTTGTGCATTGGAAAATTGCTGAATTTGATAAACTAACACAAAACTTTAACTTACAACTTTTACGCATGCAAACAAAACCATACTCTTGTCACTAACTGAACTAAAACATTAAAAAAAACAACAACTTGCCGCTTGTCACATTCTGTTGCACGATGCAGCTGGAGCCTAAGCCTGCCACCGCTTTTGGACAGCAGCTTGAGTGCAACAGCGGCAGCGGCAGTAACACAGCCAACAACAAAATCAACCGACAGCTATCGCTGCTCACGTCACAAGCAACACGAAGCGGCGGCGGTAGCAGGGAAAGCTCTGCTTCCGGCGGAGGCGCCACCACCACAACAAGTCGCACACAGCGTTTGAGTGTAAGCTGCAGAGTGTGCATCTCTCTGTGTGTGTGTGTGTGTATGTAGTGTGAGTGTGTGTGTGGCAGGAAGCGTGCAAATAGTTGCCTAGATTGAAAAAGAGTTGAATGAGCAGCAGCAGACACAGCCTGACACTATTTATTTAGTTAGTGAATGAAAAAAAACTCTAAAAACCGCCAAACCAAATTAGATCTGGCAATAAATAGTTAGTTCTATGTGTGTGTGTGTGTGTGTGTGTGTGTGTGTCTTGGGTAAATAAAACTGGATATATCTTGTGCTACGGTTGAACTAACTGGTTACTTGGGTTTTACTAACTTTGCTTGGATTTGCGTAAACTTTTCAAAACAAACATTTCGATAAGTTTTCACCTGTGTGAAAGTTAACTTTCTTCTTGGCTGAGCTCTACAGATTTTTCAGCTTTTAATGGAATTAAAAATGCACTCTTATAATGAAAATAGATTCTATTGAAGCGACAAGCAGCAAAACCCACGCATAATTTATTCAAAATCTCTTTTAAATTAGTCCTTTATTGATTTTATTTTTAATATAATCCAGTTTTGGAAAAGTTTGGTTCCTTTCAAGGACATTTAAATAGGGAATTGAATTTCGTTTCGGTTAAAATTTCGAATTGGTTCCAAATCTTTTCAGTTTTCAGTTCCGTTCCAGTTGATTAATTTGATCACTTTACAAAAATTTAAAATTTTCCAAAACATACTAAAATATAAAGCGAAAGTTTGAAGTAATCTTTAAAAATGAATACTAATTAATATTCAACTAAATTAATACTTATTTACTTTAATTACTTAACCTAAGGCACTTACAAGCGTTGCCTGCGTTGAATATTAATAAAACTCTACTTTCCCCCTAAACTTCCGCTAAATGTTCTTTAGTTAATGACTAATTTTTAAGCAGCTTGTTATATATATTTTCTGTATCTTATTTTTTTGTTCTGTGCGGTTTGTTCTTTTATTATTATTTTTGTTTCTTTTATTTGTTGTGTTGTTTTGTTTTTCTGGATTTTTTTTACGCTCTATCTATTTTATTACTTCTTCTGCTTTAGGTTTCTTTGCGCCGTGAACAGCGTGCAACGTTAAATGAACCGACTGAGACGACGCCTGTACGTAAACTAACTCCACTATTCGCCCCACTAAGAAGTAGCCCCTTTTTCCCCGCTACAAATAATAAAACGAACTAACCAATTGTTGATAATCACTAGTTTAGCTAGCTATAAAACATCTCTCTATCTATCTCTCTCTCGCTCTCTATCTCTCTCGCTCTCGCTCTGTCTCTCTAGCTGCATTAGTTATTTACGTATCTTATAATTGTTTTGTTCTCTTGTTGATGTAAATTTGTAATTTGTCTAACCATCGATCGCTACTAATAATCGCTTTCTTTAGTCAAAATTTGTTCATTTATATATCTACATATATATATATATATAAAAATTTATCATACCTTTTAACGCTAACAACATTTAAACGACGTAAGTGAGCTGGTGTGTGTGTGTATGTTTGTGTGTGTGTGTGACATTTGGGTCGTCTGAAAATATATAGCTACAAATATCCACTTAGTTTCTATACCGTGAACCCATTAAAAATGGGTGAAAAGGGTGCAATGGTCTTGTGCAAATTAAGGTAACCGGCAGAAGGAAGTATCTCCGACCACACACATATATAAATAGTGTATACAGCATATTCTTAATCAGGATCAACAGTCGAGTCAATATAGCCATGTCCGTCCGCCCAACCATCAGTTAGAGATTATAGTCTCTGAGATAGAGACTTCAAATTTGGAATATAAGTTCTCGAATACCCCCCTAAAGATCAAGTTTATTTCATTATCAACATCGATACATATCGTTTTTCTATAGCAACAAAAATTATTTTAAAGGCAGACGCTTCTAAAAAACACTCACTGGCTTAGTTTCTGTCTACTCTTCATCACCTGTGCCTGCCATAATTAATGAGTCCTGCTTACATTTGAGTGTACAAAACTAGAATAGATATTATCAGTTGGGTTCAGGGTGTATTGGAGTCGAGCTCACTAGACTTCAGTATTCTTACTTGTTTATTTTTTTTGTTGTGGTTAGTAACATTAACAACCGTAGCCTGCCATAACACTTTGTAGTCTGCGCCCTTCCCCTCTCTCTCTCTCTCTGTCTCTCTCACTCTCTCTATCTTTCTCTGTTTATGTGTTGAATATTTGAGTACATTTGTCATTTGGTTATTGGATATATAAATCTTTTGTCTGGCATTTCTATAGCTGGTGCGTCAGAGCACACGTAAAGCGCGAACACCACAAGCCCTGGAGTTGAGTGGTGCAGCACCACAGCCGGCAAGTGGGTCGCATGGCAATGATATACAGCTGGACTCGATGGATCGTCGCTCGGAACAGGAGAACAATACCACATCGATACTCGATCAAATCTCGTATGGATTTGTCAGCGTCGGTGGTTTCATCTATCAAAACAGCTATATATTCACCAATATTCTGATGATGGTACGTGTGAAATACTTTAGACATTGTACAAATAATATTTCTACCTTTATTTCTATTCAGGCCTGGTCTATAGTCTATCACAGCTGGTTAACATTTGTGCTGCTGCTGTGGGCCAATGTCCTGTGGATGATACCCAATCAGCGCAAGGCAATGATGCGCTCCAGTCCCTTCATCGTGATCTATGCGGAGTTGCTGCTTGTGGCCCAATATATCTATGGCATGGATCTGAACAACGATGAGCTACCGACAAAGGTCTCAGTAAGTCCCCTTTCCCCGCCAAAGTGACTCAAACGAGATGCGATTTACTAAACGTATACCCTTTTATTGTGCACTTTCAGACGGCGGGTATTAATCTGCAACAGATTGGATTTGAGCGACCCATTGAGAATCAGATGCGTCCTTGTGTACCACTGATAGTTAAGACCGCATTTGTGCTCATGTTCTGGGTGACATCGCGACAATTTTTCAAGGAGAAGCGCGATAGGCGCAGGAATAGCACCTTGGCTGATATTATAGCGCCGCTGCAGATAACTGTTGGATCGGCGGGATCGACCTACCTCATCAACGATGGCAAGAAGACATCAAAGTTCCTAAAGAAAGCGGGCGATGTCATCAAGAATCTATTGGTGCGCCTCTGGATCTGGCTGCTGGTGTTGGTCATCTTTTTGTGTGCCATCACTGGCGAGTATATGACGGGTTTTCGCATCTGCTATATGGCATTGTTCCTATTCTTCTTGCTCGTCTTTCAATCATCGTCCAAAGCGTGGGTCAAGATCATGTACGGGTTCTGGCTGTTCCTCATCTTCTATGCCATGTCCATATTGATCTTGATCTATACATATCAATTTGATAAGTTTGACACCTACTGGAAGGACTATCTCAATGTGTCCCAAACGCTGTAAGTTCTTTTTGCAAGGAGATATCTTCGATTATTTTCAAATTTTCCTGTTTTGCAGTCAAGCTGATATTGGCCTGAAGCGATATAAGACTAAGGATCTGTTCCTGCACCTGGTATCGCCGACAATTATTGTCATACTGACTGTCATCCAGGTGCACTATTTCCACAAGCGTTTCATTGCCTCACTGCAACAGCAGCCAACGGCTGGCGGCCAACAGCAACGACCCAATCCGGCCTTGGAGCCGGCACCATCGAAGCGTCGTGGCAGCGCCAGCTCTTTGCGCCGCTCGGTTGGACCCACAGCCGAGGCGACCGCTGCTGGTGGTACCAGCACCGATTTTGAGACTTCAGTGCGTGACTTGGTGCGCATCTCATTCCGCAAGATTAAGAACAAATCCGAGTACATCTTCAAGAGATTCAAGACCGTCTTTTGGCGCTTCCTCGAGCTGCACATCATGAAGGCCGTTTACATCGCCGCCTTCGTCTGCAGCGTCAGCGAAGTTTGTGTCCTGCACATTGTCTTTGTCGGCTTCTGTGTGCTAGGCGCCACATCACGTAAGGCCGTCCAAGTGGTCATCAGTCGTCTGATCAGCTTCATTGTCACCATCATTGTGCTGTCCAAGATGATATATCAGATTGAGTATTTGGATCACACGCAATACAACGTCATGTGTGTGAGTAATCGCATAATTATCCATCTCCATCTCAAATTCTACTTGAACTAATTTGTGTAATTTCTTTGCTCTCAGTCGGATAATCGCACTGCGAATAATGCCGAGTGGATCGGTTTGAACAAGGCAAACAAACTTGAGGGCGGTTTAATGAGTCTGCTGCGCACCTATATCATCTATATGGTTATAGTCACCATGCATGCGGTCATCTCGCTGAGACAGCTCCAGATGCGCATCAAAATCGGCGAGAATAGCGTCACACAACAGAAGCTGCTCTTCCAGAATATAACGCGTGCCGATGCTGAAAAGGATTTGGTGGGACTCGTCAAATATCTGCTCAACTTTGGCTTTTATAAGTTTGGCATTGAGATCTCGCTGATTGCACTTGTCTCGACGATAACCTATCGTCAGGATATTGTCGCAGTGGCATACGCCTTGTGGCTGGTCGTCCTGCTGCTGCTCAAGCGTTCGCAGTGTGCCAAAATGTGGGGCATTTTCCAGGCCTTCTTCGCCGTCTCTATACTATTGCAGTATATTGTGCTGGTCGGTCTGCCGCCCAGTTGGTGCATGGGTATGTCTATTTTTTATACAATTACTAGTTATATTTATAATAACCAAATCTTTTATATTGCAGTTTACCCTTGGGATGATGACGCCTTTGGCGAGAGCATTCAACGCTGGACAATGCTGCCGGGCAGCTTGCATTTCAATCACGTGCCCAAGCTAATCTTTGACTTTATTGTGCTGATCATTTTGAATCGACAGAAGAGCATTTTTGTGATTGAACAGCGTTATGCGACCGCCGATGATTATCCCGGAGGCAGCAATCGCAGTGTGATTGCGGACATTGCGCAACTGGGACGAGTGCCCTTTGATAATCCCACTCATGATTTCTGCTCCTATATACGCAACTATTCGGATATATTGAAGAATGGTGTACTCTGTGGCTTCTACTGGTTCACGCTGGCTGTCGTCTTTTTGGCCGGCACGAATATAGCGGATCTGCTAGCGCTGGGCTATCTAATTGGCGCATTTATATTCCTGTGGCAGGGTTCCGATTTTTATTTGCGACCCATTACAACAATCATCAGTCGCTGGAAATGGCTCTTGGCCTTCAATGTCGCAAATATTCTGATCAAGACGAGCTTTCAAATGGCTGGTTGTTTGTTTATGACACCATTGACAACCCACTGCTGTTGGCTGGTCCATATGCTTGGCATTACGTGTACCAGCAATGTGCTTAAGGAACAGCTGCTACTGAGCGAGGAAGCAGATCTTCACGTGGGCCCCGACGAGTGTCCCAAAATCACCCATCAAATTGTGCTGCTCTGGGATGCAATTTGTTTTGCGTTTATCATCTTTCAGTTGCGCATCTTTAAGTCGCATTACTTCTGTCACATCATTACGGACACCAAGGCCAACAATATACTTGCCTCCAGGTAAGCCAAATATATATTTAAATATAGAGTATTATTAACTAATGCCTTTTGCAGGGGTGCGGACATCATTGAGACACTGCGCCAGAAGCAAATTGCCCATCGTCATGATCACGAGAAGCAGGTGCTGCACAAGATCAAGCGGAAAATGGAACGCATACGTGCTACACAGCAGAAGATGCTGCGTCCGTTAGACAAACAGACCCATTTCGATGGTAAGTTGGCCTTCGGCACTGATTGGCATGTGCTTCACATTTGTTGGTCGGGTTTTGGCGCATATTTTTTGGCCAATTTTTATCGCGTTGCAATTTTCCAAATTGTTTTTGTATTTTGTAAATTGGAAATTGTCGTCTCGTGAATCGCGCGCGTTGTGTTTGTTTGTTTTGTGTCTGTTCCTCACTAATCCTAAATGACAACAACAACATCAAAAAGGAGAACGCACACCCTTGGAACAAAGTTTGGCTGGGGCAGCACCGTTGGCGCAGCAGAGCAGCTTTGCATCGTGTCAAGGCTCCAGCTACCAGACACCCGATGGCCCCAGCTCCAAGAGCAGCTCCTCCTCCGCCAACTCGTCGCCGGCTCGCGCCTCCTTGCTGTCGAGCAGCAGCGCCGAGAGCGTTGATAGCGCCGATGCTGCTGTCATCATTGAGCCCGAGATTAATATTATGTTATGCGATGATGCCGTGGACTATGCGGATGTGCAATCCATGAGCGATGAGCAAGTGGACCAGCAACCAACGGTTAAAGCTCCAAAGCAACCCGATGCAATAACCACAACAGCTGTAAGTGCTCAGCAGAGAGTTGAGCGCGTGTCGAGTGTGGCTTTCTATCAAGAAAAACAAGCTTTACTTGTATTAATTTGTTTAATATTGTTTTTATATCATTTAATTTTGTTTGGTTTTCACGCAAACACATTTTATTGAGTATATATAAATACTCGATTCGTGTCACGAAAGAAAAGCACGACACGCGCACAACTCGAGAGCAGCTGAGCGTGTAAAAATCATCACAACTCAACTTGCAACTTGAATTCTTGTGAAGCCCACAACGCCTAGCACCGAGGCGCTTTCAGCGCTGCTCACCGAGGGATTTTTGGAACCGAAACGCATCTCACTGGGCCTGGCGCCATCCGAGCAGAGTGCTCAGGCCCCAATGCGTAGTTTGATGCCACCGATGGTGGCATATGCCAATGCTGTCGCCTCCAGTGCCGGCAGCTCGGTGAATCTGACGCCCAACTTGCGGCGTCAGCATCGCCGACAGTCGTCCACAACAGCCGCCGTCTCCTGGAACGAAACGGTGTCCATCAAGCGATCACCCTTGAAGGAACAACCACATGTGGTATAAATATAATTAAATATATAAATCAAAATTCGATAAAAGAGAATCTTGTCTTGTCTCGTTGGCCGTCAAGTCGTCGGAGCGCGAGGAGCTAGTCACAATGCGTCAGAAGTCGCTGCATCGACGCCATCAGAGCATGGGCAATGCCAGCTACTCGCTGGACGAGGCACAGACACCGCGACTACGTCGCACCAGCACCCTAACCGGTGCCAGGGATGAGGCAGCTTTGCTGGCGGCACAGCGTCCGCATAGCTGGGGACCTGTCGGTACGGCCTACTATATGGAGTCGCTGATGTGCGCCTTCTATGAGCCCGCACTGCTGCATGGACCATGTATTGGATGAATCTTATTACCTACCCCTTACTCATATATATTTCTTATCTTTTAATACTGAAACATTGTATAAAGATTTTATTTAATGTGCGTGCCCCAAAATAAAAACTCAATTGAGGTCGTGTGTAGCAGGCCTCAAGAAAGAAACGACAACTTTCCCCCCACAAAAAAAAAAGAAACAACTTATGTAAATAACACTTTCCTAGTGGTTTTTCATTTGCATTGATTTATAGAATCGATGCTCAAAGCGTTTGACAGACTTGTGCGCACTTCTACAAGTGTAATATATTTATATATATATTAACTCTAATTTTAATAAATATGTCTCTTTTGATACGGTTAAGACTCAACTTTCTTCTTCTCTGTGTGCTGCCCGATTCGATTACAATTCTGCTGCTCAATTAATAATCTTTTCTTTTTTTTTTGCTACAGTGCGCTTCTGAAAAACATTTGCTTACAAAATATATTCAAATTTACTTTTTACTAATTGAATTTGCAAATTATGCGAGATATGCTTGAGATTAAAACACTTATCTATAGACAGATACTAAAGAAAACTAAAATCCACTCAAAATTCGGCCAGCCGATGAGTATTTTATATATTTATTATATTATAATTTAAGTGCTCTACTTGTTTATTTTATTATTTAATTTTTTCTTTTGTTTTTTTAACATGTGTGTGTGTTTTATTTATAGAACATGGTTATCCATTTCCTGCACCAACAGTACGCAGAAGGAAGGAAACTAAATTGCATCCACATGGTAAAGTTTTGTTTATTTCGTTTGTTGTGCTTGATTTGGTATTATCATTAATCATCATAATCATCTAGTATATAACAATGATCGCTATAGATCGCCAGCAACATCATGCCGATATTGTATTGCCTTGTATATAATCTATTAGCAGTACTCTATATATAAATACTATATACTCTATATATATATAAACATAAGCTGCATGCAATGTTGCTCTCTAAGCTGCAGTTTTGTGTGCGTTGCTCTCTCGCTCTCTCTGTGTAAAATATTTAATAATCATTCTCAAACAATTCTTGAACTATATCTATATAATCTCTAAATGTTGTTTCTAGTTGATATAATTATTATATGCAAGATATCTAATAATGATTTGGTTTTTCTTTCAAAAAAGCTACACGCGCCGGCGATTATTATATGTTTGAGGAAATGGATGATAAGTTCGAGCTGGATCTAATCCACGATGAGATTGATTTTCTGGAAGAGGAGAATATTACTGAGAGTGAAATGAAAATGCAGCGACGCAAAACGCTATACGATGTAAGTGAATTCAAATTGGATCTCTTTTTCTTTCAATCTGGGAATGGAACATAATATTTAAAACTTATTGAAGATATGCCTATGCATGTACTAAATATATATATAGATATATTTATATATATATGCCCATAATCTGTTGTAAATTCCGTTAAAAATTACGCCACACACTGACATTGACATTCAACAAACACACACAAAACAAAGGTTTGGAAGGATCTGAATGATGCCGAGTATCGTCGCCATTTCTATATGCGTGAACGTTCCTATGCCTCCGAGCCGGGTTCACGCATCGCCCTCAAACTGGATGCGGAAAAGGATATGATGGCTGAGCGACATGAGGATCGTCCGATTTCTCGTGTTGTGTTCGATGACGATGCTGATCGTGATGATGATGATGACGATGATGATACCATTGAGTGCGATGCTGGCGTACGCACGTCGACGCTCTCCGAGCCCCTCGATTTTGGGAGACGCAGTCAGACGCTGCTCGAGACACAATCGCCCCCACCACATCCACCGGGGCAAGATGCAGTTGTGAGTGTGCAGCAAAAAACAAAAAACAAAAACCAAAAATTCTTTAATTGGCGCACCCGTTCAACGTTTTACATATATATTATGTATATTATAATAATATTCGATCACGAGTTTTTCAAGCGCTGCAAACAACCAACAAACAACTGCAAGTTGGCGCACACACTTCTCTCTCAATATACAAGTTAAAAACTGTACAATTACCATATCTACTATATTTTAATTTATCTTGTGTATATATACTATAACTTGGCTTAATTTCGTTTTTTGCGTCTCGATGTTGTTGATTATCACAATAAATGTTTCTACTTTTCAACTAATCTTCCGCTTGGCTATTCTCTTTGATCCGTCTACAGAAATCGAAAGATGCACCCACCGATTTGTTTCCCTCGACCAGCAGGGGCATCTCCAAGGAACGGGATGCGGCCACCTTTAGCAGTCCTAAGCCCGTCAAGGATGTCACCGATTTGCCAACAACAACGGCAGCAGCAGCACAATTATCGACAGCAGCGCCACGGGAGGCCACCTCCAAGGAGACCTCGGATAGTAAATCGAAAATGGAGGTGGATAGCGGCGATGTGACGGCCAAGGATTCGGATGAGGATTTCGATACGAATCCCATCATACGACTGTTGGAGGGCTTCTTGGTCACTTTGACCATACGCCTGAATCGCTTCTCGCGCAATTATCGCTTTGTCAATCGTATTTTGGCGGGCGAGAAGAAAACTCTTAAGGTAAGCCGTCAATTGAAGGGTCTACTGTAAGCTCAGAAACTAGTAGTTGCAGAAATTAATGTTGTCTAGAGACTGGAAGTGATTTGAAGGCATTTCTTGTAGTTTTTCTTATACATAAACTTATAATTATACTATTAACTCCACTTATCGTAAAGAATATAAGAACCTTAACCTCTTTACTTATACTCTATCTTATACTTATACTTTTACTTATACTTATTCTGATACTTATACTTTTAACTACAGTTATACTTTGTAGCAGTCCTTAACGCCTTACCTATACTTTATCTTATACTTATGCTTATACTTTTAACTCTACTTATACTATTAACATCACTTATACTAGAACAGTTTAAACCGCTTGACTTATACAACTTCTTGCATTGAATCCTTAATCTACTGTTGACTACACTTTTACTACAACTTAGACCAGTCTTACTTATACTTGTGATCATACTTATATTCACATCATACCTGTATTGAAACACCTTACTTATATCTATCTACTTTATTCCCAGGAATCCAGTTCGCTGAATCGTTTGGGCCTGTCCAGCGCTGCGGCCATGTTCCATTTTCTCAAATCGAATCTCGAGAGGTATTTAGTGGGCGTTACTCCCCACGGAGTGTGCGCCGCTTGCGTTAATCTACCCTATACTATTTTAAATGTTAACTCTTTTTTTTTTTATTTTTTTTCTCAAATTTTATTTTTGGAGACTGAAAACGTGCGTTCTTAGAATAGCGAACGTTTCTTTGAATTTTGATATGATATCATTTTGCGTTTTGTTCAAGTTTGTGTTGAATTTATGAAAAAGAAAAAAAAAATTGATATCGTTTTATTTTTCTCTTCTTATTTTTATTTGCATATGTTTACCTTTTGTGTTATGTGTGTTTGAAACTGTGTACCTGCCTTCCACAACAATATCGAATACCAAACCAAATCAAAAAAAAAAAAAATCAAAACTCAACACAAAAAACTCACCTCACCTGCATCACCTGTTGCGTTTTCGTGTGCATTAATTTTCCGAATAGTGATGAAAACGGTGGCCAGCCCGTTTCATCATCCACACCGCGTCGCTCACAGTTGGCTGCCACCACAACAACAACAACACTACCAACAACAACATCAGCTTCAACAACAACAGACAATCTCACAATTGAACACTTCAGCACACCACTTAACACAAATACAACAACCACACCGCTCACACCGCCAGAACCACATGTACAACCACCAGCAGCAAGTACTCCACACGTTGTCGAAGATATCATCGCAATACCAGTAGATACCGTTGATGCAGCAATCTCTAGGTAACAAATCCAACATCACCCACACCACCAGCCCCTCTCCCACATTTCCACATCCTTTTCACTCCCCCTTCAAAAATAAATGCAGTTGAAGTAATGCTTTCTAAATACCCAGTATCAGATATTGCAAGTTAATCCGTGTGCTTAAAAGTAATAAATGTTAGATTTTGAAATCCTGTTTTTTTTTTTTTACATGAAAACTTATTTATTTTGTTTTTGATTATTGGGAATATATATTCTAAACTATATTTCAAACAGAGTTTTTTGTGTTTGTTTTTTAACAAAAATCATTTACTTATTTTTTAACAGATCCGCTATAACTATTTTATCTGTGTACTGGGTATTAGCTAGTCGGTGTATCGTTAGCTGCTTATAATCAAATTGTTGATTGTTCTAAGTACTATATCACTGCGATACACTTTTAATTTAGATAAAGTAAAGAATTTGAACTAGAAATATCTTTAAAAAAAGGTTTTTAAATGTCAAAAAGTATTATCATCAGCAAGACACATCGCTTTGATTTATTAAAAAAAAAAAAAGAGTTTAGTTTTATGGTTTCAAGCGAAAGAAAAATAATTTTAATTTTGATATTCGAGTTACAAAAAATGCAAAACTTTACTAATTTCTATTTTCTTACATTTATCTGCGCGCATTGTTTGCTCATCTGAAATTTTTGTGTTTATAGAAAACAATCAATCAGTTCATCGCCGCCGAACAAAGGGTAAGTAAAAATCTTCAACATAAGTATATAAGCATCATTATTAAAGCGATAACGATAACGATATTAAGTAAACAAAAAACTGTCAACTAACAGCCAAACACATACACACACACACGCAAGCACACACACAGTATTCTATATGTGTGTGTGTGTGTGTCTCTTTTAAGACTCTCTCTTATACGAAAACAACTTTATATACTATACTCGAGCAATAGATTTTGCTAATAATACTTCTACAATGTGAAATCAACTCTTTAATTTAACTGTGCATTTTCATACACAACACACTTCTACACATACACATACATATATCCATATGAACATTCACACATATTGAATAAAGCCGCAAATCGGATTGCGGCCTGCCTGAGATACGCATTAAAGCGCCATCTATTGAGCGCAGCGGGCAGACGCCCCACACCCCAATCGCCCATCATCAACATCAACAACAACAACATCAACAACAACCGCATCATCAGCAGCAGGCGAGCATCGGTTCGGGTTCGCTCAGCAAGCACTGGTCCTACGAGCACGTGGACAGGTATTGACCACGCCTCCCCGCCTGCTTCACTCCCCCCTCAATCAATCATCATACATAATTAATAATCACGAAAATATACCAGTTGCAAGTACTCGTAGTGCAGTTGCTGTTGTTGCTGTTGTTCTCTCGGCCCAAGACACGGGACTGACTCATCGTAACTCTCTCAATCTCTATCTCTATCTATCTATCTATCTCTATCTCTATCACTCTATAAGCATGGGCGGGTTCAGCAGAGTAATTTTATTTTGGGCAACTTGAAGATATTGATATATATTCATCAAATAAAATCACACCTCATACTTCATACTCAACTGAATCCGCTCCTTTAGCCAAACCTAACTAAACCTTAATCAAACTATATATCTGTCTCTCTCTCTCTCTCTCTCTCTGTCTCTATATCTGTATCTGTCTCTGTGTCTCTGCATTTAACTGTGGCTGTGTTTTAAACTAATTTATTTGCATCTGCTTTAATTTATAAGTCCATGCCACTCTTTGTGCGTTATTTGCTAGTATGTATGTATGTATTGTTATTGTTCGGCTTCCCTTCAACCACATCCCTTTATTCCTGCTCCCAACTTATGAGTTGTGATCTTAAGTTTCCAACTCACCCCGCACCTAACCCAACACGCATGTAGGCAAGCGTTGCATGCAGCGCACAGGTTCCACTAACTAAATCTAAAGAGCACCAGGCATGCCCAATCCTGTCCTGAATTTAGATTTACCTACCCCTTTTTAAGTACCTCAATCTAATCATCTTTTGTGAATATTTGCAGTGCTGGAGATTTCAATTTGGAGGAGGAGAATTTTGCCCAGCGGGATCATCATATTATTGTTGAGGTGCTTATCTCCTCCTGGTATGCACTGCTGGCCAACACGGATCTCATCTGCTACATTGTCGTCTTCATCAATCAGGTGAGTTTGTCCTCTCAATTATCATCTAAAAATAGTGCTCATACTTTGCATGTTTCTTTTCAGGTGGTTAATGCCAGCGTCATCTCTTTACCGCTGCCCATTATGGTGTTCCTTTGGGGCACATTGTCGCTGCCACGTCCAACGAAAACGTTTTGGGTCACTCTGATTGCATACACACAGGCCATTGTTCTGATCAAGTGCATCTTTCAATTCAAATTGATTTGGGCCAACTATCAAAACTTGGCCCATCAGCCACTAAGGCCGGCCAAAATATTTGGTGTCGAGATGAAAACGCATTATGCCGTCTACGATTTGATATTGCTATTGGTGCTCTTTCTGCATCGCTATCTGCTCAAGTCGCAGGGCCTGTGGAAGTCCGGCTACAAGGATACGGATCAACAGTTTGCGAAGCCAACGACCAGCATGTAAGCATAAAAGGATTTCGAATTTGCGAATGTCTAATGAAATCTTTCCCCATATAGCGATGATCGAGAGGATAGCGATAACATGTCGCAGCCGGATTCACGACAGCTAAACGAGGATGCTGCCCAGAAGCAGAGCCTGCAGGTTAGCCAGGTCTCGCTGCCTGGCTCCCCGGAGTACAGCAAGTCAGCCATCAATCAATTGGAGTAAGCAATCAACTGTAATATTCAAATAATAACAAATAATAATCTTATATATTTTATCTTTTTGCAGACGCACCAAGTACACTTCGTCGTTGCACAAGTTCTTCTTTAGCCTGGTGCACAAATCGCGTCTAGCTACTGATGTCTATGCTTTGATGTTCCTCTGTGACTTCATCAACTTCTTTGTGCTGCTCTTTGGCTTTACAGCATTTGGCGTGAGTACTGTAGTAATATGCTTCAATTGTTGTCATATATGTAAACCATTTTAATCTGCTCTGACAGACTCAACAAACTGAAAGCGATGGCGGCGTCCAAACCTATTTGGCTGAGAATAAGGTGCCAGTGCCGTTCCTCATCATGTTGCTGGTGCAGTTCCTGCTGATTGTCATCGATCGTGCGCTTTATTTGCGCAAAGCGCTCGTCAACAAAATCTTTTTCCATTTCTTTTCGGTGATTGGCATACATATTTGGATGTTCTTTGTGGTGCCGGCGGTGACGGAGCGTTCATTTAATTCACTCGCACCGCCAATAATATTCTATGTGATCAAGTGCTTCTATATGCTGTTGAGTTCATATCAAATCAAATCGGGCTATCCTAAGCGGATTCTCGGTAACTTCTTCACCAAGGGCTTCTCGATGGTTAATATGATCGCCTTCAAAGTCTATATGCAAATACCTTTCCTGTACGAGCTGCGCACCATACTCGATTGGGTGTGCATCGATAGCACAATGACAATCTTTGATTGGCTCAAAATGGAGGACATCTTCTCGAACATTTATCTCATACGCTGTACACGACAATCGGAAACGGATTTCCCAGCGATGCGTGCCCAGAAGAAGGCTTCACTCTCAAAGTTGATAATGGGTGGAACTATTGTGCTATTGATTGTGATTTGCATTTGGGGACCGCTCTGTTTGTTTGCATTGGGCAATGCTGTGGGCACTTCGAATGTGCCCCATCAGGTTTCAGTTTCGATACGCATTGGACCCTACGATCCCATCTATACGACAAACAACTATGACAGCATTTTTCCGATCAACACCGAGATGTACAACCAGATGACAAATACGTTTATCAAGAACAAAACGGCACTCACATTTATAGCTGGCTACGATGCAACCGATGTGGCTGCCGTCAGGTTGGCCGGGAATTCGCCATCACTGTGGAATATAGCACCACCGGACAAGCAACGTTTGACCAACGATTTGCGGAACAGTAAGTTCAACCATAGCATTATTTTTTATGTATAATTTTGAATGTATTTTAACTTAATCTGACACAGATAACACGCTAATTGCACGCTTCTCGTACTCGTTGACCCGGGATGCGCCCGCAAAGGGTCTCAAGGAGAATGTGGGCGATGAGCACATAATAAATTTAGACTCATCGTTTGAGGGACGTGCAGCGCTCATCAGCATGCTAACCGAGTCGTATGACCAGCCGGAAACAGGCAATGACACCGGCAGTAATAATGGCGTTAATGGCACTACTAACAGCAATGATAATACTACAACCACTGCAAATACCACAACCACCAACAGTGGAAATGTGTCCAATGAGGTGGTTGTGGTGCTGCCGCACATGATACCCAAGTTCATCAAGGTGCTGAATTTGGGTGATGCATTCGTGGTGTCTGCATTGACTGGCAAGGAGCAGGAGTATCGACCGCTTGTCATTAAAATGCATCGCGATAATACCACAAATGGCCTGTGGTGGGAGATACGCGACTTTTGCTATGATAACTTTTACAATTCGACGCTTAAGGACTTGCCCTACAGCGACTGCAGTTCGGGCATTGTGATGTACACGTTTAACGACAAGAAATTCCCATCGACTTTCAGCTTCTTAACAGCTGGCGGGTATGTACATATTGAATGACTATCCTTGATATATACCTGATTGAATCAATATCTAATATCTTCAGCATCATTGGTCTATATACGACATTTGTGTTATTGGCCTCGCGTTTCATGAAATCGTTTATTGGTGGCCAAAATCGCAAAATCATGTTTGAGGATTTGCCCTATGTGGATAGAGTGCTGCAATTGTGCCTGGATATTTACCTGGTGAGTGCTGCTCAAGCTTTATCATTTGAAAATAGATGCTTAAGCATTTGTTTCTTAGGTGCGTGAGGCCCTGGAATTCGCTCTAGAGGAGGATCTGTTCGCCAAGCTGCTCTTCCTGTATCGTTCGCCAGAAACATTGATTAAATGGACGCGACCCAAAGAGGAGTATTTGGATGATGATGGCGACACTGACTCGATACCAAGTCGCATGAGTGTGCGACGAAACGAGCAGCTGCAGCAACAACAGCAGCAACACCAATATCAACAGCAGCAACAACAATAACATAGGTCTAATCTAAATGTTTGAGTTAATTAGAGTTTCGTATACGTATTTCATTTTTAAGTACGTATGTCTTGCGTTAACGTAGGTTTCATAGTCATTTTTTTAAATTTATACAGCAATTAGTTAGTAAAAATAACAGAAACACAAAGAAAATCCAAACCCAAATACACACATCACCCGAATAATCACTTACAATTAATTACAGTATGTATGTAGTTAAATTTTGTCAAGTACTGCCGTGTGTAAAAAAAAAAAAAAAACAACAACAAAAATAATGTGTAAAAGTTAATGAAATTGTACACCAACTAATTAGTTAGTTAGTGCATCGAATACAATACCTAAATATGCCTACTGTATAGGAATTGTAATTAACGAAAAGCTACAGTCTAATGTCTAATTAAGTGAAAAGTGTTGCTGTTTGTTAATTAACGAATTAAATAGCTAAACGAAACAATAGAGAATCTGTATAAGTTAATAACTAAGTCATATATACGCATGTGTGTATAAATTATATTATTAAACTAATAATAATAATAATGAGAACTCATATTCAGGGATTTTTAGCATTTTACAAACAACCTAATTGTAAATCAAATAATTAAACCATGTATGAAGAATTCAACTTATTTGTGTAAGTTAAACCATAAAACAAAAACAACAATAAATGTTTTATATATACTTATATATATATATATAGCATATTAAATATATAAATGTAACTCGTGTCGTGTGCGCAAGCTTCAAATTACATAACAATATTTTCTACGTAAATACTTATGTTGCCTTAGAAAAAACAAACAACAAAATTGATATTATGTATTGTATATGTTGAAAAGATTGTTATAGACTAAACTATTGTACTATATAAAGCGTTGAATTTATTTCTAGGCATATCATATATAACATATTTTTGTATTTCATATGCAGATATCATTTGCTTACATGTTAAACAGCAATTTCATATCAAAATGCTAGAATTGAAAAAAAGGCTTCGAACGCGTTTTGCTTCACTAGCTATCATCATTAGCTATGCCAGCATGCTAAATACATTTATGTGTCTCAAATGGGCAATCTCCAATTAGCATTAGATTAAATAAACACAAACACCCACACGCCAACTAAAATTTTACATGCTATTTTATACATATTTAAACGAATTAATAAATGTAATAAACTGAAAATAAACTAAACTAATTTTTGTACCAATCAACGAAAAGGAAAAACTAAAGTAAAACGAACTATTATAAATAAATGTACCTACTTATAGTAATTAACATTTTAATTAGCTAACAAAAATTAAAAATATTTGATATAAAAACAAATATAGAAGAAACATTTATTATAATAAATTATGGATTTTATTTTGAAAATTTCGCAGTGATTCGAAACAGCAGAAACAATTAATTTTTGCTTGTTTGCCAATTTCTACATTTATTTGAATTATTAAATACTTTAATATTGAGTTATATAAAGAAATTATATTATAAATTCATAACAAGAGCTGAAAGGAGAAGCAGTTGTCTTCCCAGCAGCCAAAGAGAGAGTGAATGAGATCTTTGGAGAGATCGAAATGCAAAATTTCGTTGAAAGTTAATCAAACGAATTGTGCTATTAAAATTAGAACACGTAAAAATAATGCTCAAATTCTTTTAATTTGATTCACCGAATATACACACATCGTGTATTCGTTGTGTAAGAGTTTGATTATTAATAAATATTGCTGCAAATAGGTTGTTGTGTGTTAAGAAATGTTTGAAGTGATGAATGAATGAAATTATGGTTGTTGCGATGAAAGAGAAGCTATGCTGAGAACTAAGAGAAACTATTCTGTTGCTGCTGCTACCGGCGAGTGAATTTTTAATATGTATTATTGTTTTCTCATATACTAATTTTCACAAGCAATCACCTTTCAAGTAGAATAATAACATCTTTAAGTTTGTAAATATTTTATGCAATAGTTCTGCATCAAAATTCAAATTACGAATTGGACTGGACCAACTTTTCCGTGAAACAGCATAGTCGAAATCTTTCTCTCGAACTCTTTCTCAATAGTTCAATCACATTTATTACACATACTATTCCTAAGATACAAATTTAATAAGTAAGCAAATTATAAATAGCTCCGAGGGCGACACTTGGACGGGTTTTAGGTGATGCGCGTTGAGCAGTTTCGATAATGCGTAAATTTATAATCACTGCAGTCAACGCTTTTGGCCCTCTCGTTGCAGTGTTGCTGGCGACCGAGTTTGACTGCTGGATACACTTCCTCCCATTCGGACTCGCTGCGACTTAGCACGCCCCGTCTACGTGGTGTGGTAAAGGTGCTCTCCTGCTGCTGTGCATTTTTTCGCAGGGTGATAACAGTGCTCGTTGTTGAGCCGGCAGAGGCAGAGGCGGCGGCGGGAGGCAAAGGATTGTTCAGCATCTGTGTAACGCTCTTGGATAGCCGCATGGATTGGATGCGATTGTAGCCACTGCCTGTAGGCTTGTAACGCTCCAGTTTGAGTGTGAGACGTGCCATCTCATTGCTCATCCACTCGGGTGCTCGCATGCTGCCTGCGTGGACAAACGTTGGAATTGCTGTAAACAGAGCGAGGAACTCAGGCGTCGCTTTTATAGCCAACGAGCGAGGTGGTTGCGACATAAGCACGACGGGGCATTGCCATTTAATCGATACGCTTGCATAAAGCCGAGGTTAAGGCCTTTTGGACAAGTGTCGCAACATCGAAAATTGCAGGGGTTTCCACCCTACGTAATGCTGGTACTGACCTATTAACTAAGCGTGTAACAATTTTGTTGTTGCTTGCAACAAGGTTTATGTATATATATAACATTTAATTAACAACTAGAGGGACAAATAAAATTGTTCACTTTTATAATAGAATAAGCTACAAATTCGAGCTACTTTGGATAATAATTGTCTTCTGTTTTGTGTATACAAAAGCTACGATATATATATATATATATATACTTCTTTGTTTTAGGACACTTTGCAATTCTCCTCGTGCAAGTGATCGCCATCGAGCTGGACATCATCCTCGGTGGTGGAAAAGATGCCGCCTTGCAACACTTTATTGACAGCAGCCCGAGCCAAATAGCCCGTTGTCTCCGAATAGGGCAGCGAGTAGAAGACGGTCAAGTCCTGTTGCTGCTGATCCCCTGACTTAGATGGCTGCTGCTTCTGTATATTGTTATCCTTGCAGTACATGGCAAAAGCTTCGGCAATTATGCCATCCAAATCGAGAGCCTGCTTAAAGTGTAGCTCGGGATTGCTGAAAAGACAGATGGAGTATATTATGAAGAGTGTGCAGGATATAGAGGAAAAGGATATGCCCTACCGATTCAATATGGTGGCCACAATGCAGAGCAGCTCAACGGTTATTTGACGCCTCTCTGGACGATTAATGCACATTAGCGTCTCCTCTACAAGCAAATTGAATGTCAATTCGCCGCGACTCATGCTCGTCAGCGTGGGCGTGGCAGGTAGATGGTGTCCCTGCGTCGAGATGCCCTGCGGCGTGCGTTGCAATATCCCCCAGATCTTGTTATAAAAGTGCTTGGGCACGCGGCACAGGCAGCCCTCCAGCTTGCGACGCTGCAGCGTTGTGAGTCTATAAATTCAAAATCAGAGATCATTAATATAATTGAAATACATTTGGTATTATTTGAATTGTTCTTACTTTTCGTCCAGGGCCCACTCGCTGACAGTGAGCACCTTCTGCAGTAGAATGCGCACCTGGAACGGCGACAGATTGTCTACGTCGATGCTCTGTTGTCCAGAGATTTGCAAGTATATGCGCATGGCCTCGAGCACCCATCCAATGCGTATTTTCAATATTCCACGGAACATGGACGGATTGGTTGCGATGAGCCGGCCACAATATAGAACCACTTCCTGCTGCAGCACCGCCTGGATGACATCGTACGGCTGGACGCTGGTATACATGACATTCTGGATCTCAGCCGGGGTCATCGGTTTATCGAACACCGTCTCCTTTTGGCCAATAATGCCAACGGTCAGCTCCTTGCCATTGACTAGCACAGTGGTGATAAACGGACTGATCGAGTCCACAATGTGATGCAGTAGCGAGGAACAATAGCGCACAGCTCGCCAATAGCGAAGCGACCCGGCTCGATGATAAAGCTGTGTCAAAGCCGTGCTCACATTCAGGCCATTCACCTCAAAGTGTGAGCCCTCGCGATTAAGTAGAATGCCCCACAACTGGCACAGGCAATAGATGGACTCGGTGCTGCGCAGCGCATGGATAATGTCCGGCGTCGGTTTGCTATCAAAGTGCTGTAGGGTAAAGAGAGATACAATAGATTAATCTTTCATAATAATAATAAACAATTCAATTGTTTAGCTCACCGCCACGGAGACCTTCTCCTCGACATAGGTCAATGCCTTGGGCACATCAGTTAGCGATTGATAGCCAATGTATTCGTGATTGATCTGGGAGAATGCGTTCTCATTGTCCGTTAGATCGCTTTGGTTCATAAAATCCAAATGTTCGATGCAGGAGCTGCTGATGAGGTTCTGCAATCGGCCAATGCGCACCTTCATGCCATCGCAATAGCCCTTCTTCAGCATGGCCAGCAAATCGAGCATCTCCTTGAACTGGGGATCACGCATATGCTCCTCGCGTATCAGCAGACAAACGGTGGGTCTGCCCGACAGACGCCAGTATTTGCCAACGAATTGCAGCTCCGTCTTGATATCGTCAATAAGCAGCGCCATATCGCGATACAAATAAAAGTCGGATACCTCAAAGATCAGCGGATAGCAGAGGACGGTCATGCCACAGATGCGATACACCTTGCTAGTGCCCAGTGAACCAACTGGACGCGATGGACGACCCGACAGCCCCACCTTGCTATTAACGCCCAAATGCTGATAGACTTTGATGAGCTCCGTCGAGCTCCAGATTTGCACGGGTTCCACCTGAAATGAGACTTATTAATAAACAGTCAGCGGAAAATGGAACTGCTCAAAGTTGTACCTCATGCGGTGTCTGGGTTTGAATGCCATAAGTGGCCATCATGGCCTGCAGACGCATCGATTCGGCAATCAGCACAATTTGCACCACCAAATCGGTGGCGGTACCCTGTAAGGATGCGCATAGAAAACGGATTAGTAAGAATACATACTATACAATCGATTGCCGTTAAGCAGTTAGATAATGTATTTAGCCAATTCTTTACATGAGGGAGTAAAAAATTGTACTAGCCAAATGCCAAAATGCAAACAACAATTAGCAAAAACACTAAAAACATTTGGTGGGAGATGCTGACAGAGAGAGAGAGGAATAGAAAGAGAGAAAGGTAAGTAGGGAAAATGTGGAGCAAACAGGACATCAGGTGTGGGTGTGGAGGTGTCTTGGGAATTCATGTTTAACACATGCCAGACACAAATAATTGTGGAGAGAATTCTGGTAACAAAATGGACATAAATACAAATTACTTAATAGCTAGTTTTAGCATATTCAATTTACACATTTAGTTCAGGCAGCTTTTAGTAGTTGTGTTTTTAGTATTTTGAGTGTATAAGTAATATTAATTTGAAAATTTGAAAAAATTCTTATTGTTTCCATTTTGAACTGCCAATTTATGCCGCCTAAAACAACGCATATGAAATTCTTAACCCAGGAACACGGAAAATTTAACCACAAATTACCTTCTCGGAATCCAAAATTAGCGGTACGCGTGGTTTCTGTTCTTTTCGGGGGTTATTGGTTTTTTTTTATTAGTAGAAAAATAAATATATTTACATTTAAAAAAGGTTCTCAATTAGTAAGAAAATTATATTATTCTAATTTTTTCTTTTTTTTTTTTTGAATTGCGCGGACTGTTTTTTGTAGTTTTCTTGAAGCGCTGTTTTCTCAAAGAAAATACATTTAGAAAATAATAAATTAACTGAACCAACAATTAATTGCTTGCTTGTGTTTTTGGTTAGCTACAATTGGTTAAGGAACAACAAGCCAAACTGGAACTACTATGAAGAAGAAGATAGAATCGAGCAAGAGCCCAAGATCTGGGTGATCCATTACTTACAGTGCCCGGCTTAGCCTATGTTTATATAGAGCGTGTGTAGGAACAAATTATGCAGTTGGTTTTTTTTATAGACAAGAAACAGTACCGAAAAGAGTAAAGAAAAAAACTGTTGGTTTAGATACACGAATAAATAAGCAAGAATAGTTTGCTTTTTGCTATATACAAAATAAATAATAAACACAGCCTTAGTATAAATTATTCAAAATATTGTTTTCTTTTTGTTTGCAACTGAAAATTAAGTGTTTTGTGCGTCTGTGTGTTTGTGTGAATGTGTGTGTAAGTGTGTAAGTGTGCACATCCCAGCAGGAATCGCGAGAATTGATTTTTTTTTTTTATTAGAACTACGCTTTATAAAAAATTCTATACACCCACGTCTAAAAAACAATTAATTTACTTTTGCATGCCAATTGACTGAAAAATGAAGGAAATTCCTCAGGCTTTTCTCTTACTGAATAAATGATATATAGCTAAATTCATAGTTTCAAGACGTGCGAATTATCTAGCCTAAAAATCTATACAGATAAACATAGTCGAAAATTGTTCTAAGTTTTCGGGTTTTTTCAGTTTTTGAGTTTCTCTATAAATTCCTGCTGAAATGGATCGTACTATATGTATAGAAACTTAGTATCGATCAATCTATGTGTGTGTTGCGAAATAATAATAGATTTGCATTTGAAATTGTCGTCTAATGTGCAAAAAAATCTATGAAATAAAAATAAGCTTTTTTTTTGTATACAAAAAAAGGAATAATTTGAACAATAGATCATATAAAATCTATATCGATCATATTGAGTGCAATTAAATTGTGTATTTGAATATCGATTACTTACTTTGTGTTTATCATCGAAAGCTTTACCCTGTTTATAATTTGGGATTCCAACCGATATAAAGAGGTTTTTTGATTTAATTTTGATTTTTTTTGGTGTTTATGTTTTTATGTGGGTGTTGTTTGTGGGTATATATAGTTTAATTTTGTTTTGAGGGTTTTGAAGCGGTAGTAGTGTAGTAGTTATTGTTGTATATACGTTGGTAGTAGAGAAGGGACAAAATATATATTGATGAGTAGTAGTAAATATCGAAAGCCAATTCAAATCACTTAACCCATATTTATATATATATATATGTAGATATATGGATATATCTATACTTAAGTATTTAGAAAAGAAAACTAAAGAAACATAACAATTACATCGAATACCAATTAGACAGCGAAACGCAGAAAAAAACACACACAGCAGCGGACAAAGCTGAGCCAATCCATCTGGGATACGTAATGCCCCCGCCCCTAACCTATCGAAATAAGTCCACCCCGCTCCGCCAACAACTCACCTGAAAGGCCGAATAGCGACCGGCACGTCGTGGTCGATTATAACTTGGCAGATAGCGTCTAATGGGATCCAGTTCGTTGATGTGCAACAGTCCAGCGGTCAGCAGCTGGGCAATGATGAAGAACGACTGGCCCCAGAGGAACAGCGATTGCGACGGCGCACGCATATAGGAGCCATCGCCATCGGGTGCATAGTACATGGTGACCACAGGATCACCATTCGCATCCGTGTGCAGACAGCGACGCAAATCGTTTTGGAACTCTTCGATCTGTTCGTTGTTATTCTTGAAGACGCCATCGATGATCATTGTTATGAAGAACAACGGCCATTCGCATTCCAGACCCTCGAACTCTTTCAGCTCACCGGGCTGATAATAGCGTCGCGTCTTGTCCTCTGTCTTGCTCAGGAAACCATCGCGCGTGAAACGCTTGAAGCCCATTTTACTGCGCAGCCGATTGACCACGTTCTGTTTGGTCTGCTCCACCAGGCGATCCTCATGCGAGGCGAACGCTGGAAAAGAGAGCGTCAGCAGCAGGGAAGCATCCACGCCCTACAAGCGATGACAGTATGTATATCTGGTAGGATTGACATATATCATCAAATTTACTCACCTTGGAGCTGGATTCACGTGGCAGCATGGTTTCAAAGATGCTGCGATTGCGATTGTGCGCATCAATATCGACATAGACAACACTCCACGAGGCGCCCTTCTCGCCAAACAAATTGCAGCCGTTAATGGCCTCTAGCGCCGACTTGGCCATGCCTAAAACAATGATTAACAACATGAGTAACAACAACAATGGATGATAACTTAATTAAGACAAGGCTTGCCTATGGAGGAGGCGTGTATCTCTGGTGTGCCATTGTTGTACTTGGAGCCACGCTCCCACATGCCAAAGTCGGGTGTGCGATAGGCGCGCTCCACATAGTAGACCAGATTCTGAACAAAGGCGACCTCGTCGTGGGTATAAATGATTTGCAAGCCAGACGTGATCATCTGCACCAGAAACAGCAGATACAACGAGACCTGTAGATATGCGAAACGTGTGTTTGTAATTAATTTACCAGATGGGAAAAATCGACTTTTCAACTCACGCAATCAATTTGCAGATGATTGTAGAACTCGTCCGGATAGATCTTTTCACCCGTGTGCAATTGAAATTTGCTGTGCAATGCATGCGTGTTGGACTGTCGCTGCTTGAAGAGCTCGACGCGATCTGCCTGCTTCACCCAGCACTCCAAAATGCCACGCATGCATTTGACGGTGCTCTGGCCGAGCTCATAGGACTTGCCGCGATCATCATCTATGCGTCTGTAGGCCTGATACAAACTCCATACTGCTGCAGCACAATAGACACTGTCACGCACCGAACCCACCACCTGATCGGTGCTCATCACCGGAAATAGGCCAGTGATGGGACTCTGGTAGCGGAGCAGCTGGCGTTTAACTGAGACAAGGGGGGTTTCATAACGATTAGTGTTGAGGATTAATATTTAATTGAGAATTAATATGCAGTCTATTTATTATTAGCTAGATGTGAACTAAGCCTTAATGTTGGAGTTCACTATTTCATTGAGTTTTAATATGCGTCTATTTAAAATTAACTGAATGATAATCTCGAGCCCAAAAACCTATGAAGATTTATTTTAATCTATATACTTTAGATTAGTAAATTTCCTACATTTTTATCAATTTTAAATTTGGTTTTAATTTAGCTTTGGACATAATGTAGTAAATTTTCACCACATTTAAAATTTTATTTTGTGTTGAAAAAAGTACTTGTTGCTTTTATAAAAATAAACAAATTCTAATTAGTATCGAAAAGAGCGCACCTAATATACCCACCTGCAAATGCAGGTTGTAGGGTATGGGGTATTCTTCAAGACGAGATTAGCGTGGTGTCAATAACTTTAGCTTTGACTTTCGCACGCACATGTCTGCCACAGCTTGTTGACAAACGCAAATAAACAAACGCGAAACGAGAAACACGAACACGTTTCTCATGGAGATCAAGAGCGAAAAAGAAGCAGAGAAAAACGCACACACAGCGAGAGAGAAACAAATAGAAGACGCTAGCAGCGTTTCTGCTCTGGTCTGCCGATAAAATTTTTTGCGAAAATTGTTTATAAATAGAATGGAAAGACGCGAAGCGACGGGCCGCAGCTTCGTGGCAACAATTGGTTGCTTAATTGGCTGCCCTACACAGACGCCTGCCAAGGTTATATAAAAAAATCAAGTGCAATTTGCTCTTGAATTGCTCGTGCAACTCACCGATGCCATAGTAAATGTCCAGCTGCTTGACCGTGTCCTCATAGTTAATAGTTTTCAGAAACTGATCCAGATTGATGTCCTCGAGACTGTTGTGTCGTCCACTTGTCGATATGCCACTTTCTGTGGCTCCTCCCGCCGCACTGCTGCCGCCTGGTGTTGTCACTAAAAGGCCGAGTCTGTGTGTGGAGGGGGAAATGTGATTGACACCTTAGCACAGTTAAAATGGGGTTATTTAATTGTTTTACGCACGATTTCGGCACATTACGCATCGTAGTTGGTTTCAATGGATCGCGTTTTGTGGCTCTAATTGATTAGCAATCATTGAAAAATGTATACGCAAAATAAAATATACCCTTCAAGAGTCAAATGCGAAATGCAATGAGACCAGCTACCATAGAGAGTTGGTTAACGCAAAGAAGATAGCGACATGCGCACGCACTCTGATTGAATGTGATGTGACGTCATTACTCACAGAGTGTGAGTTTGTTTACCATTGCCAATTAAAATGAATAGAATGCATACTAAAAGCTTATAGTTAGTGTGAGTGGAAGGCAATCTTGAAGTTTCAAAAGAATATATCTTATTTTTGATTTATTAAACTATTAAAATTAATGATTGTATTATAAAATGTTTGGTTGCTGATCTTACTTTCAATATTATTTAAAAGTGCTAATTCTGTGACAACCTTATGATTTAGATGAGATATGCACGCCACGGTCACCCTGTGCTGGCGATCAGCTGTGCAAAACAGATGCTGGATTTAAAGCAGGTTTTCGTTTTTCTTACCAAGTCTTCGCTTTGATGGACGTCAGACAGACAGGCAACTATTGTTGCCGCCGTTTGTTGTTGTGGCTGTCGGTGAATTAACTAAATCATAATCATCTATCAGCCGACAGCGACACTGAGTGAGATCATCAGCTTGGCCGTGAAATGCAGTCGCTGAAAATGTGAGCAGCAAAAAAGAGCAGCGAAACTGCAAAGCGAGACGCGTTTAGAAAGTGTACTTAAATAGTCTTAAGCAAGATGCAACTGCAACTGCAGCTAACAATACTCACAATACTAATCCATGCGAGCCTTGCCGAAACGAAGCGTTCGCTTGCGTTGCCTAATTTGCCGTCCAATCACCTCATCCGCTACCTGAACACCTTCCCCAAACTCAAGGGACAACTGCCGGCGAATGCAACGACGCGCACCGAATCGAATCGCGCGTGCTGGGGCCATGAGCGGAACTGCAGCGAGGAGGCCCGCTTTCAGACGCCCCACTGCCCCGGCGATCACACCGGCTGGGTGCAGAGCAAGGAAGCCCAGGTGCAGACCTTCTACTATCAGGCGGACTTTGGTTACATTCAGCAGCAGCTGGCAGAACTGACGCCCCTCTGCTTGCCCAATTACCTCACAGACTCCTCGCTGGAGTGCACACGCTATTTGCGCTTCTGTCGCGGACGCAATTTACTTGTGGATCTCAGAGATTTGCCGCAGCGAGAGGAGCGCATTCGTTATCACATGGACGTACTACGTCCTGGCCAGCTGTTGGGCCATTGTGATCTGAATCGGACGCGTCTCACGGCCGAAATGGAGCACATTGGTTCGGCGCTGCAATCTTGGGGACCAGAGCTGCGTAATTTCGATGTGTTGCCACAGCCAATGATGGAAAGCGACGCATGTGATCTGGTTGTGAATGCGCCCACGTTCATCATGAAGATCGATGCCACATACAATATGTATCATCATTTCTGTGACTTTTTCAACCTATACGCCTCACTCTTTGTCAATCAATCCCATCCGGCTGCCTTCAACACGGACGTCCAGATACTCATCTGGGAAACGTATCCTTACGACTCACCCTTTCGGGATACATTCAAGGCCTTCTCCCAGCGACCCGTGTGGACTCTTAGCGATGTTCAGGGCAAGCGGATCTGCTTTCGAAATGTTGTGCTTCCCCTGCTGCCACGCATGATCTTTGGATTGTTCTACAATACGCCAATTGTAAGTCGTTCGCGAATAAACACGCATCTGAACAGTAAAATAGGTGTGAAGACAATAACAGACTTCCTTCCTTTCGCCCTGAATGATGTCTTTGGCCAATGTTATTATTATTTATTATTCAAATCATAATCTTATGCAACTCGCACATATTTCAATTTGAACAATTTGACCGTAAGCCAGATTCTTCTGATTATTGTCTTCACACCAGATGTAGATATATATTTAAATTAATATACATTTTTATGATTCCTGCAGATTCAGGGCTGTTCGAACAGTGGATTATTTCGTGCCTTTTCAGAGTTCATTTTGCATCGACTGCAGATACCCTTCCAGCCGCCGTTGAAGGAACGCAAGCTGCGCATAACATATTTGTCGCGTCGCACAAAATACAGACAGGTGTTGAATGAGAACGAGCTGCTCGCCCAGCTGGAAGCCAATGAGGATTACCTCGTGCAGCGTGTCTCCTTCGAACGGTAGCTATTATAATAATAAATGTATTATAAATTTAACATCTTACGTTCACACACAGTTTGTCGTTCGTGGAGCAATTGGCCATCACACGGAACAGTGATATGTTGATTGGCATGCATGGCGCTGGTTTGACGCACTTGCTCTTTTTGCCCAATTGGGCGTGCATCTTTGAGCTGTACAATTGTGAGGATCCCAATTGCTACAAGGATCTGGCGCGTTTGCGTGGTGTACACTATGCCACCTGGGAGCAACCGGAGCTGGTCTATGCCCAGGATGAAGGACATCATCCTGAGGGTGGAGCCCATGCCAAATTCACAAATTATCGCTTTGATGTGCCGGAGTTTGAACGTGTGGTAGCTAAAGCGGCGGTAGCGGTTCGCGCCCACGAGGAATTTCCAAAGGCAGCGACTACAACAACGCAACAACATGATGAGTTTTAGCGCTTTGTGATTTGTTTAACCAATGCATTTATTATTGTGTCCAATGCATTTATTTTGTTTAAAAATAAACCGACAGCAGCGAAATCGATAACACTGGTTTGCACTCGCAGCGCCCTCTACATGTGGTTTTGAAATTACTCACAAAATGAACGAAATCGATAACAGTTGAAGGTGGCATCACTTGCAATAAATCGAAGTTGGAATTTTAATGTGCAAGTTTGTTTTTAACATGCGTGTTTTATTTTGTTCGCTTCATTGGAAATTCAAGTAAACTGGTATAAATGCAAGTTGCATAACTATGGAGAGCAGAGTTTACTTCTACGATGTCTACGTTTCGGCGGATAAATGTTGTCTGCCCGCGCCACTGCATGTATTTCAAGGCTTCATTCAGAATTCCGTTTGCAGTCCAAATGCGATTATTCCAAAAACAGAAACTGATAAAAAATCCTGGCAGACATTAATATCCAGCTTACGTGTTTTGCCCGTGATTTGGCCAACATTGTTGGGTTTCGCCTTGTCGCAACTGCTGTGCGGCCATTTACCACTGCGCTCCACACGAAGATTTCTGCTGGAATTCCTGCTAATTGCCACGCCCACCGTTTGCAGCACTACAGTGGTCACTGACTATAATGAACTGTACTGTCTGCTAGTTGGTGCGCTAATTGCCATATTGATATGGCGTTGGGACATATGGAAGAAAGCAAAGGATCCCATCTGCCTGGAGATTGGAAGCAGACCCGTGGTTTTTACACTGATGCGTGCAAATGCATATTTCTGCACTGCTTCCGCTATTTTGGCCATCGATTTCAATGCATTTCCCTCGGCATATTTCAAGAGTCAGGCGTTTGGTGCCTCCGTCATGGATTTGGGTATTGGCATGTTCGTGGTCACCATGGGCATTGTCTCGCAACGTGCCCGGCATTTGGGTGATGTGAAAAGACTGCCCAAAGTGGTTGCTCCGCTATTGGTGCTAGGCTTGGCGCGCACAGTGATTATCACGTTGATCGACTACCATCAGGATGAACGCGAATATGGCAAACATTTGAATGCCTTCTTTACTTTGGGACTCACCAAGCTCTTTGGCAGTCTTTGCAGCCTCTTGGCGCGTGAGGATCGTCAACTGTTGCCACTGTCATTGGGTAAGTTTTTCTTTATGGATTTAAGTGGGATCAGGATCACACGCACAAACAACATCATTAAAAGCAAATATATATTTTATCTGCAAGTGCATTTTTCATTCTTTTTTCACCACAGTAATTCTGGCGCTGCACGAGCTGCTGTTGCAACTGGGTCTCTCTGAGTTTGTTATGTCGTCGGATGTGGATCGCATTGGCTTGTGGCATGCGAATCGTGAAGGTCTCAGCTCGCTGCCCGGCTGTGTGGCGCTCTATCTGCTCAGCATTTACTGTGCCAAATGGTATACATCCAGGACGAAGCTGAGCCGTGCCCAGTTCTGGGTCAAGTTGCGCCACATGCTGCTCTCTGCCAGCATGGGTTGGCTGCTGGTTATATGCTGCAACTGTCTCTTTGGCATCGCACGTGTCACCTTCAATGCTGGCTATGTGCTTTGGCTGTTTAGCGTAACAACGACGACGATGATGCTGTACGCATTTCTCTTTGAATTTCTTCTACTTGCGCCGAGAGCAGAAGACAGAGGACCAAATCCTTTGCCTGCCTTTGTGGAGGCAATTAATATGAATGGATTAACGCATTTTATGCTCAGCAATTTTCTCACGGGTTTTGTGAATATGGCACTGAAACCGCGGGATCGCAGTTTAGCGGAATCCGTGGCTATTTTGATGCTCTATTTGCTGACCAGCACCGGAGCAGTCTATGTGCTTTTTCGAAAGAGTGTGAGGATTGCCTAACTGACTGATCTAGCTGTGATAATTGTATTTTTTATATATATATTATATATATTTTTAATTAGAAAGTATTTCTGTTCTTATAAATGTAATAGATTTGCTTAGAATATTATTTAGATATTTTATACGACTGCATAAAAATACTTAAAATGTTTAATGCTTATAATAACTTTTAATTATACTAATAGACCGTGAATTTGTCAGCGAACAATATTGATTAATTGTTATACAAATTATAATATATACCAATAAAAAATGACTGAACTTGTAACGTCTTTATTTTATGTAGATTGATAGAAAACACTTTTGTGTATTTCAGTGCAACACTTTGTTAATTTGTATAAAAAGAATTTTTAATATAATCTACAAGAGTAAAAACTTCCATTAAAGTGCAGCTAGACTTACTACAAACTACAAATTTCAAATAGTATTGGCCAAAAGTCAAATCAATAATCTAAAACGATGAGACAGTTTCGAAAGGCATCACATAACCATTTGGCGTGACCAGAAAAAGTATTATTGCCTCCTTTGCACCCGCCATTTTTTGTGGGGCATGCCCCACATCCGAGTTCTTGTACACCTCGTAGACGTGGCAGCCATCCTTGGAATGCACCAGACGTGTCCACAGCCATTTGTGTCCACTGTCCGGCAATTTAGCTGCAAGCCTGGACTTGAGACGACTGTACGCAATGGTCGCCGTGGACAGTGAACCCTTCATGCGATCCGAAAGTGTGGGATGTCCACCGGCCAATTGGCGATCATCGATCACCGGATGGGCAAAGTCCACGCGTGGCATGCGAGGACGTGATGGCCTGGACGTGGTAGATTTCAACTTGGCTGCGGCTGACGTCTGGTTGCAGGCGCAGTTTGGCTTGCAAGTGCCTTTTGAACTGGCGCTGGTATATTTACTATGGCTGGTGTTACTCATCGGGCTGCTAAGCGAGGAGCAACTGGGCTTGGGACATGGCAGAGTACAAGCAGAAGCTTGTGGGGCATATGGTAAGCCTTTTAATTGGTGATATATTCTGGTTGCCCCCAAACAGTAGAGTATACGATCCAGCGCCGTCATTATGACCTCATCCGGAAACGGACCAAGGACATCCTCGAGTAGTGTGCCCCTTGCTCGTAGACAGGTCCTAACTGCCGGGCAGGTATTCTCAGGCTGGCACGGAGCTGACACCTGACAGGGCGCGCCGCTCATTTGAAGGAGGTTTGTTTTTTTTTGTAACCTATTCAAGTTAAGAAAGTAGATGAATTTAATCAATTCGGCATTAGAAATTGAGAAAGTGACATTTGTTGGCTACTCGGATTATGTATAATGTGCTAAATGAAGAAGTAGTCAATAAATTATAGTAATATATATTTAAATTTCACTTAATGCATTCAATTCACATAAATTTACTTCTTTAGGAACTGAGCAACTCAAAGTTGTGCAACTTGTAATTTATATATATATATATGTATGTATGTATATATATTTATACACAAATCGGGCAGCGATAATGTCCACTTAAGCACACCAATGGCGACTCCCCGCAGTCAGATGTCAAAGGTGCGATATCCGGCTTAAGGCGCTGGAGCCTTGAGTCCTGAGTCCTGAACGCGAAGGCGTCACAAAAGATAAGATTTCTATTAAGGAAATGACAGAAATTGCGCGCATTGTGTCCAGAGAGGAAGAGCATAGACACACACACACACAGATAGACAGTCAAAGGTCCTTGGGAGCATGGGCAAGGATATTTAATTTAATGGCACACAAACAAAGCCAGCGTCAGGGATAGGCAATGTCCAATGCCCAATGCCAGGATGAACGCTCTGAATGAGTGAATGGGGCGCAAATGACCTGCGTAAAGCTGTGCGGAGAGGGTATCAGAGTGGGTATAACAGCTTTGTTATGAGGTTGAAGCATATGAAAAAATATGTTAAAAGTTATTGACTGATTTGGAAATGGAGGAATGTAAATATTTTATATATTTTATGGTTTTCGCTGAGAAGCTTTCTTTCTACCCTTTAGTAAAGAAATCTGTATTAAATTTTTATCTAAGAAGAATCCTATATGCATTTAATTAATCTCAATTATAAGGCATAACTAGTTTCATCAATTCCTAATAATTATTTAGTTACTTGTTTTTATATTTTATATTTTAAGGGTATTCAGCAGTTGTCCTGGTGATAAATGTAATTTTTGATGATTCTTTTTTCATTTTTCCTTCCTGATTGTTCGTGCAATGTAATTACAGCAACAGTTTCCTCAGCTTTAGAAAACCTGATGCGCTTTTAATGTGATATCCTGGCACAGGACGTTTCACCATTTTGATAGCTGAATCTTATCTGGATTTGGCCGCACAAATGCAATTTCCTGCAATCTCAACCCTTTCAGACGTTGACAATTTACTCCAATATTGAGTTAATAGTTGGAAGTCAACCTAATCATACATCCATCAAAAAGGGGGCGGCACACTTTGTACATGGATGGGAAGGAAGGGGGAGTGGGTGAAATTATGGTTCCCACCTGTTCACACACATTTTTGGGGGTGGTTGCCGTTTTTTTTATTTTTATCGTTGGCTTTGATGACAGATTATTTTCATTAGCAAACAGAGGCCGTTGTCCATTTGGCAATCACGTGCCTCGGAAAGTAAAAAAAAAGGAATTCTCGTAAAAATTATGAACATTAATTATTACATATTTTCATGTTTGTTAAACATGACAAGGAATTGCCAACAACAACTGATTGATGTGGCCAAAATGGAATCAGTCGGAGAATTCGTTTTGCTTGCCAATTTGACTGCGACTACAAATCGGATTTCATTCAGATTGCTTTTGCAAAAAAAATAAATAAAAGGAGAAAAGAATGTATTTGTGTGTGTGTGTGTGTGCATTGTATGCATATGTGTGGGAGTCTCAATCACGGTGAAGAGGCTTAGTGAGCAGCACCCAGGGGAAATCGCTTAAGCCGTTCATAATGAGTATTATGACTGCCTGTCTGCACGCCTCGTTGTCCTTGAAGCAGAGCCTTTGGCTTGGCTTGGCCAGCAACCAAATGTGCAAAACAACAAACATCCTGCCATAAAAATGGTTCACAATTTGAAAGCCGATTGAATATACATATGTACATACATATCCATATACTATATACAATTGTTTTGTATTGCGCTTTTCCAATTTGTATTAATAATGACCAAATAAAGAAAGAACTTGGCAATTAGCGAACCGAGTGGAAAGAGAGTTGTGGAATTGTTCCCAAAACATCGATCAAATATGTTTTAATTTTAATTAAGAAACTTGAAAATAGAAAAAACCATTAAAATTAAAAAAAAAAACCTAAAAGCTCCTTAGCAGTTTAAATATTATAAAAATAACAGAATCTTGAAAGTACTGTAGGCTTGACTAGATAAACGTAGCCTTCTGTAAAGATAATCTAAAGAATGAAAGTACATAAAGATATGGAAATCATCTAATAGATAAATATTGACCTAAATGGCCTCGGGCTTGAAGTCTCGAGTTGCATAAAGAGCCTGCGCACACCTCACCCCTTCCAGCAACGATTATAACATTCAGCTCGTTTGCTGGCAACAGCTTAGAGCAATCTGCAATAGAACTCATGCCAGAATATAAACAAAATGCTTATCGAACGGAATTTTTATCGCAGCTTAAGTGTCATGGCAGCAGGAAGCACCACAGAATAGAACCGAGCTGAATAAAAGCGTCTGCAATTTGTTGTAGTCGAAGCAGTAGGTACAATACAATCAATACCAAAACCATATTTGGCGAATGCTTTCTCAATGCTTTTAGCAAGCAATCGCGCAATTTGTCATGCAATCAATGCGAAACCAAAAAAGTGTTGAGCAAATACAAAAATAAATAAATAAATAAAATAAAGAATAAAAGTTGATACATATAAAAGTCGATAGACCAAAGTGCATTGGGCAAGTAGAGTGAGCGGACAGGGAACAGTTTTGCTCCAGTTGCCAAGTGAACGCAACTCAATTGCGTCGCTGTTAAATCGTGTGGAAGCTGATATGATTATGTGTTACCCATGGTGACTACCATCCAAGGATACATCCTATAAGCGAATGGTCATGCAGCATGCGGCAATTGCAGCGGGGTACATGTATTGTTAAATAGTCTCCCCTAACAGTGGTGCTAATTAATTTATTTTTCAAAAATACAAGCTGGGAACTGAAAATACCAAACAAAACAAAAAATCTTAGAGTCAAATGTAAAATTAGATATGCTAATTGAAAACATTCTCTATCAGCATAAGAAATGCAGTAAAATATCTAAAAATAGTATGCAAAAATGTAGTTTGTAAATTAAAATTTGATTTGAGGGAGAAGTTTAAACTTTAATATGTAAATTTCATATCAGTTTTTTTTTCTTGTGATTACAAAGAGATAATTCTAATGTAATCACGTGACCACTGTTTAAGTACTATGTTCAGTACTCCAGTTTAAAGCCACGCAACAATCAACATCCAACAATCAACAATCGCATTATGTGATTTGGAAAACCTAAGCGTTCTACTTAGTGCCAGAGAGTTGGGGAACTCTTAACCCAGAGGCACGAACATTAAGAAGATTAATTCGCAAAAGCTGTTGTTGTTTTTCCTGTTGTTGTTCTTGTTGTTGTTTTCACTCTCTGCTCTTACTCTGTCCAAAATCTCAGATAACGTTATGCATCATTGTGTCAAAGAATTGACAAATCTTTGCCATGGCTAAGAGTGAGAGAGGGAATGAAAAAAAATTGTAACAATTTCATATGTCTTGAGTTGAAATGCGAAACCGGAGCAACTTGCCGCTCCCTCTGCTCCTCAGTACGTCCTCCCCCCGCAGCTCTATCGATTTGGCAAACTCGCAGCACTCAAAAGCAATCATTAAATCAGAAAGTTTGCGTTTGTGTGTGCATATGTGTAAATATGCGTGTGTGTGTGTGTTTCTGCTCCCATTTTACAACAAAACAAATGTAAGAAGTTTGATAAACTCAAAAAAAAAAAAGAAAATTCAAGTAAACATTTTTGCAGCGAGAATAAACAGACTACATAATACTCTGCTCCTTGTGTAAAATTTTAACTTACCAGTTGAGAATTGGTATTCTAAATTACGTGGGTAGAGTTGGGAGTGTCGGCAAAATGAATAAATAGTTCTTTAAAGTAGTTTTAGTCTTATGTTTACTAAATTATATTCATTTATTAATAAGTTTTCTATAGAGCATTCGACTTTCAAAACTAAAAGCAATTTAAATTTCCACTTTTTAAAATAGAGTATTCAAACAAACAAAAAAAACGCAATTCGCAATAAAAAGTTGTGTGACAGGACGTTGCCCTACCACACAAAAAAACACACACACAAACACACTCACATACACACACACACACTCATATATACAGCTTGTCAGCTAACCCTCCCTTTGAGCCTGGTCCCCGCCCGCTGGCGCATTTAATAAAGCCCAAATGGAATGACTCGCTTCGTTTTTTTTGTCCTTTCTTTCTTTTTTTTTGCCACAGCAAAGTCAGCAGCGTAACCGCAACACGTTAACGGTTTCGGTTTCGGTTTCACTCTGTGATTTACAAAAACAACAACAACAACAACAATAGGCGGAACACCGCCCCTTCTAAAGGGAGCTGGGTGGCAGGGAGTTGAGCTGAACTGGGCATCCTGTGTGCGCTCATGTGTGAAAAGGTACTTTGGGACCGTTGCAGGAACGACGCCTCAATGTCTATCTCATTTCCCAGGACGCATTCAGTCTGCTGTTGCATTTGATGGTGTCTTGGCGAATGCAACAGCGAGTGGATGAGGCTATGATGGAAGAGTAGTGCTGAGTAACTGGGACATACCCTAGCTTTATTTGCTTCAAATAGAATGGAATTATTCGAAACGATTGAGGATTCACATCGTATGAATGATTGTATCTATGCATATTATATCTATTTTATTTATACTATAATAAAAGACAAGTCAATCCTCCATTGATCGAGTATAGACAAGAGCTAAACTAATTTATTTAGATACACCTTCAAAATTAAATAGAAACTAACTGGAACTGTATTAATAATTTGGAACTGTATTAATAATTTCAAACTTTGAATAATTACTTTTGAAAGTACAAGTTCCACTCCAGCTAGATGTCAAGTAAGTAAATAAGTAGTTCTGATGGCATTGGCCCGGCCAACAGGTACAGTCGAGTTGGAGTCATATCTAAACTCATGACTGCACATTTCCATTTCATTAAATTCATTTAGACAAGTTCTCCACGTGACGGCGATAAGAAGGGGAAGCGTTGTCGCAGCAACGTAGCCCTCCCATTCCCACGAAACTCCCCTCTTGCCTCTGTCCGACTCCGCCCCTGGCATACTTCAAGTGTTATCAGGCGGACAGCATCATGCATATATTAAGCGTAGATTGGCTTGGCATTCACGCCGGACTAATAGAAATGTCTGGCAGTTAATTTAGCGTCATGAAGTCGTCCAATAATGTGAAACACAAAAAAACCCAAGTATAATAAATAAATATGTAAGAAATTCGTTGCCATAGAGCTACAGCTTTGAAGTGGAGCGTATTTGGAGAGGTTTCTTAACTTAAGTTGCATAAATTTAATAAATTTCATAAAAGTTTGATAGTAATCACCAGAAAACTTTGTTCAATTATATGTTGAAATAATTATTGCTGTTTGTAGAAAAACAGAAAATTAAAGCTCGAATCGCGTTCATTTTATCCATATTCAATTTCAATAGTAATTTAATCTATCATTTTTTCAGTCTAGTTTTTCGTTTATTTTGAGAATTTCAAGTTTGAGAATCTAATCGAGTTGTATAAAATCTGTATAAAAGTGTAAAAAAGGTTGCATATTATTATTATTTGCTTGGCATTGATTTACTGGGCCTGGCCGAGTCGGAGTTTCTTGCTAAGTTCTCATACACGGCAATGCGTGTTTCTAAATCGTTTACGGTTTGTCTTAGTTCCTTCACTCTCTCCCTGCTGACCTCGATAGTTTCTACTGTCGTATCGAAATCAATGAGCAGAGCCGGCTTATAGAGCAGTCCACTCTTCTCCTGCAGCTCCGATTTCTGCTCCTTGAGGTGGGCGCGTTTTAGCTTTAATTTCAGCAACTCGTCTCGCAATTTCTGCTGTCGTTGCATCTTCTCTCCCAGCTCGATCCGCATATCGGTCAAGTTCTCTGAGAGCATGCTAATCTTCTCCCTCACAAAGGCCAATTGATGCACCTGCCTGGTACAACGATCATGCATACGATATAGATCATGGCTACGCTCTAGTTGAATTAGTTTTTAGTTGAATAATATGCGAGTAAAGATCAATATATGTATAAGGTAGTTGAACTCTATACCTTCCACTTTTGTGTCCAGCGCAGTAACCTCGCGTTGCACTGCCAAAAACTGATCCATGGTTAATGTCTCCGTAATTTGATCAAATTGCCGTTTGCGCTAAATTCGATTGAAAACTTGATTTAAAAATTGTATACAAATTGGTGAATTATGAATGAATTATGAGCAGTCAGGGGAAATAGAAAATATTTCTAAAAAATAGAAATGGAAATCCTTATTTTTAGAAGAAAAATTCAGAAACAAGTGGCATATTCAGATCGCCGTAAAATCGTACGTTTTTTCAATTTAAGTTAGGTGAATTTATAAACTATATTTTAGAAAGATCCACCTTGAAAATAAGAAATGTTTACAACGTTCAGATAAGGCACTCTTGGCGACTAGATAATTGATCAACTGGTTTCGTAGTTCAAGATCAAGATTACTTTAGATTTTCAATAAACGCTGAATGCTAGAAAGCTTTTGAGCACAGGGTATCTGGCTAGTCATAATGGACTCACTCACTCACCTCGATCAGTCTGCCCAGAGTGTGTTGCCTGGTAATAAGCCAGAGGCGACTATCGCTGATCTCGTTGCGTAAATTTTCCATGCGTCGCAGCTCGAGGTCCACGATGCGTGGCAGGAACTGCATATCCTTGCGAATGAGCGTGGTATGAAAGCATTTCTCGAGCGATTCGAGTGTGCTGATCGCAATGTTGCTCTCATGTACCATATCCATGTGGACACTGGCCATGAGCAAATTATTAATTCTCTTCGTCTCGACAGCCGTGGCCTTCAGATGATCCAGATGCTGCAGTGCCTCCCTCTGTCGCCGGAATTCCACTTGTTCCACTTGCGGTGGCAACACATCAAAGACACGCCTCTGCCCCAAACGACGATAATAATCGTACATTTTATTTTCCGCATCTGTGTTGAATTGTTTGACACACATGTATTCCTTAATTAGGCCATGCAGATCTGTGATCATCTTGTGTTTATCCATTTTTGCACTGAGCACGATGAGAGGATCGACAAACTCCGCTGCCTCGACAGCATCATCGATCAGTTTGCAAAGAAATTCCATTGCAATTTGATGAGTTTCTCGCTCGGCTCTATGTCTTTCCATTGCTGTAGTGGATTCGGTTCTCGCAAGTTTTGTGAATGAATGCATGTCGAATAGCAGATTGACTGCCATTTCGGCTTCATCATCTATATCTATCTGGGGCGGTGTCACCACTTCATCTTCCAGATCGAAGGGCCAATCAAATGATATTGTTGAAGAGCTCGATGATTCAGCTTCTGACTCTTCTTCTGGTATTTGCACCTCCTGCACCTCCTGCACCTCGATACGGCTCACCGATGAGCCTCTGTCCCGGTGTTCGGTATCCACAAATTTACCCTCATCCTTGACGAATACTTCACGCTCTACCATTTCTGGCTCCACCGATGGGCGAATTGATTTCACCGATTTTTCACTTGTGATTGATGAGATATCTGAGAAACTGGGGAAGTAGAAATTTTCGAAGAAATCACTCTTAAAGGATGTCGGTAACGACCGACTATAAGACTCGTCCTCTGAGGACGAAGCATCCGCTGACTTAAACTCTTCCGGCCCCTCCTGCTCTGCGCCGGATAAGGATATGGAATGTTTAACCTTCATGGTCTTCTCTGAATCAATTGTCGATCGGTGGGTGCTTGTCACCGAATCATTCTCAAGTTTTGGTTGAGTTTCTGGTTCTGGTTTTGGTTCCGGCTCTGACTCCGGTTCTGGCTCCGGTTCTGGCTCCGGTTCTGGCTCCGGTTCTGGCACTGGCTGTGACTCATATTTTCTCAATGCCGCATCCTTGCGGCGCTTGTCCTCGCGTCGCTGCAACTTTTTCTTCTGCTCCAATTTCTCAAGTGTCTCTGCACTCAGCTCTTCGCCCTCTTCAACAACATTCTCATCATCCTTGGTTGGTTTACCATCCTCTCCGATTGCTTCGGCGTCTTCGCCCTCTATTTGCGCTGATGAAAACATCTGCTCATTGGAGACGTTAAATTCAGTTTTAAAAAGAGGTTCTTCCTTGGGTTTTTCTTCGATATATTCTACTTCAACAACATTGCTCAAGACCGTTTCCGGATCGGCTATTCCATCGGTTTCGTTAACCGTTTCCTCCATCTTATATTCTTAAATATTTTATTATATTATATTATATTTGTTTCGATATTGATTATTTCATATATATTCGCATTAAGTCGTATGTTTTTGTTGTTGGTATTTTTTGTATAGATGTTTTTGTTTGTTCCTACTTTCCAGTCTTGACAAGTAGTTATTGTTTGTTGTATGTGAATATTTGTGAATGTTTTTATGCTGAGCCAAAAGGTTTCTAGATTCAACTTATTCTCTCAGATATAGAAAGAGTCTCTGATAGCGAAATACATATATATCTCAGAGTTGGTTGCCATTTATCATATTCGAACTTTGCTATATTTCTAACATAATTTAAGAACTTCTCAATTGGCGTTGCCACCTCGTCGCTGGCGTGCTGCCAATTTGGTGACATTTGCAAAAAACCCACATTTTTCTAACTTCCAAAGAATTGATTTCTTTATCTTCTCAACTAACAAGTATATTGACTAGAATTTTAGCTGACTTGCAGTAAGTTTGTTAAACTTGCTGATAAATTATTTTTTCCTCTTAACGTGCCATTTTTCCTAATTTTGGCCATAGCCTTTGACCTTTGGTAAGCAATAGTGGACAGTTTGGTAAATGAAATTCTCTCATTTCTCACAATAAAAGTTGACAGTCATAACATTGTTTTCTGTCAGTTATCGTTGTTGAACGTGTCGCATGCCAACAAACTATGCAACAACATTTTTTGTCGTACAACTGAAGTCAAATGATGTCAGCTATAGAAATTTGCCAAAAAATGCACTACTTAAGTGCTCATAATGAGCAGCGACAACCCTTAAAGGAAAGATTTGCTAGCTACCCCCTCTTCCCCTCTCTCATGCTAAATCGAGCCAAATGGACTTCATTGTAATACAGTGGTCGCTCGTTCAGGCGAACTGACATAAAGGTGTTTCCGAAAGTCAATTTTATAATTCTTGAGATCAAAACATGTTTAAAAACAAATTGCCTTTCAAATTAATTCAGTTTTGACCAGTTCAAAAGTATTAGTCTTCAAATTTGAGATTTTTTTTTGAAGAGATCATCAAAAAGTTAGTTTTATACGCATATTAAAATAAACTTTGGAGCCACTGTGTCAACTATAAGGTTTTTTTTTAGGGCTGGGGAAAGGGTGCTGCTGTGTGGGGGGAGGGGGTGTTTCAGTGTTTCATTGTGCGCAACCACGTTGTGTGGCAGGTTGTCCAAGCAACCCCTTTCGGCAGCGACAACGACGTCGACACTCCATTAATTGAAGCCCCTGGATTACGGTAAATTGCATTGTTTCTCCATCTGAGCAGCCGCTGTGGGGGGTGCGTGGGAGAGAGGGGGTTGGTGGGAGAGAGGGGGGTTGTGTGCTGAAGCTGACGTGGCAGCGCATCAAATTGTCTACAAATCTTTATAATCCCTGATAATTTCGTTAATGGCTTTAATCACTTACTCGCAGCTCGCAGCAAAGGATTAGAAACGTAGAGAAGTATTTCAGTTTGGCATTTAAAATTCAGTTTTGGTATTTAATGCTGAGCAAGGCAAAAGCACTGCATATTTTTGGGCAGCCATTGCCAAGTTGAATACGTAGCTCCTCCTATGAAGAAGTATGCTTGTAAGGTCACACACATACACACACACACAAGTCACACATATAGACAGCTGTTTACCTAACTGCACACATACATACATATATACACATACATATACTTATATACCTATGTACTAGTCGTATACCCAATTAGGCAGCTACAATTGTTGCCTCTCGTAACTCACCACGCCGCCACTGTGAAACTCAACACGTCAGTTGCGTTGTGTGGGTGAGGGCGAGGTGAAGTTTAAAGCTTCAGGCCAGTTGGCGGCAGCTATAAAAGCGCTGAGATTGCGACTGGCGCCACACACAAACCACAAACACCAACGGGGGAGTAGACGACAATGGCACGCTGGAACGGGCTGACGACGTTCTGGCAGCAGCTTTGCCGACGGAACTGCTGGCGAAGAGTGTTGGCAAGCAGGCAGCTGCCACTCGCTTGGAGCGTTGAGTTCGCCAGCTATCGCAAATATCGAAGAATTCTTTAAGCCTCGCAATGCGGCGTGGGATTGGCGAAACCATATCAAGGAGACAATATATATTTATATATATATACATATGTATCTTCTGCTGTGTTTGCTAATTGTCTATTAAACAAAATTTGAACCTAAAGAATATCATAGCAACATCATATCAATTCATATCGATCTAATAACTATGATAAGCTGATTAACCATATATGCAATTAATCAACTAACGTGATTTTAATACAATAAATGTATAATTATTGAATTTAATTTAAATAAACATTACTTAAATTAAAACTATTCAAAGTGTTGTATATCAAAACAGTTGATAGATTCTCATGATTTTTTGTACTACAAATTATTACTTGTTAAGTGAAAAAGAAATTTAGATCTTTGACGCTCAATGAAAACTAAGAAGCTCCAATGAAGAAGAGGGAAGCGACATCATGTAGAAACTATATACAAAGAGTATATTGATCAAATTTTTGTTTAAATAACAATAATAATTAATAATTGTAATAATAGTAATGACTAACATAAAATGAATTATAATAATTACAATTGAAAGGTAGGCAACAAAAAAAAACTTTTTAAAAAGTTAAACTCAGTAAAACAATTTTTTTGTAAAATCAAAGAACTACTAAGACTATTTACTGTTTAATAAAACTAAACAAAATAAATAACAAATGTATTTCTTTAATATTCTTTATATGGTTTATGACTTAAATGGCAGTCATAAAAAATTTAGCTTGTTCCAAGTGCTACTCAAGCCGTCTAGCAAGTAATAAAACCAGCAAAGAGCAAACAATCAGAGCTTATTGAACTACCTACAAGTCGGCAAATAACCTGGCCTACATCCTCTTGACACAACCTTCCCCCTCCAAATAGCCCTAAGCAGCTAGATAGAGTGGAGCGCTTAAAAGCAATCAAAAAACTTTAGCTGTACGCGTGCAGGCAACAAAAATTTGCATATGTCAACAAAAACAGAAACAGAAACAGGAGCAGAAATCGGTCTAGAAAACAATTTATTTATTGCCGCAGTGGTGGCAGTGGCAAGAGGAGGAGGAAGGACGGGAGCTGAGGTCAGAAGAGATACATTTGCCTGATGAAGTCGCGAGTTTGAAATGAAATGCGTAAATACAAGCATGAAAATTGAAATGTTAATTACATGGCTCAGATGAGAGGATACACGAGAAGGCAGATATACACACAGTAAACATATATACACATATATTTATATATATGGCAAACAGTTTAAAATACAGTCGAGCAAGCTGTTTTGACATTGGCTAAGCAAACAAGGCTCACAGCGAACTGATTTGTTTGCCCAGCTCTCTTAATCAGACCAAGTTCTGGGCACTTTTTATTGAACCTGAGAGACCTGAGCCAGGGGCGTCGCGCCGAGGGTGGTGAGAGGGGTTAAACTGCTGCGGCGTTAAAGCAAACAAAATGTGGTCTTTATTAACAATCGGAGCAGCTTTAGGGTGCGGTATATAAGTCACAACCCCTCTCCCTTCCCAACTGAAATTGTGCTCTTGATGTTGATGTTGATGAGGTGTGAATGTGAAAATGCCACCACGTTGCAGGCACAGCATTTTGTTTTATGCCACACACACTAACACACACACAATGCTGCAGACACCACTCGAGGTTAATTGAATTTCTTTGGCGTCCTTGGCTGCCGTTTGCTGTCCTTTCTAGTTGTTGTTGTTCTTATTTGGGCACTAAATTGAAAACGTGTTTTTTTTCTGCTTCTCGCTGGTTGAACATAGTCATAATGGTTATACACAAAATGCAGTTATCATTTACCGCGTAATTAATTGAATCTGACTCTAATTGAAATGTTTTCAGCAAACGTAATTTGATTTATGAAAAAAACAATTTGTGGAACTGTGGAATTTTTGGGTGCTAAGCAGGCCTCAAATTTCGTATAGAATCGAAAGGGTGCCTTGTGAGGTAGAGAGAAGAAAGATCTTATAATCCGATAATATACTTATTATTAAGTTATAAGAATTTAAGCAAGAATTTCAATGTGCTTGCAGCAAAAATTTGCTGTATAAACCAAATTTACAAACAGTGAAAAACTATCCCATTTTGAAGTGTTTATTGGCAATATATCAATAATCATCAACTCATATCCCCAAAATGTATATATATTTTTTTTTATCAATTGCACATATACTTTACAGCTACTTAAATATAAAAACCCAATCCTCCCACAATTGCCTTGCCAATTTTGGCGGCTTAGCGTTCAAGAAATTTGAATACGGCAACATTTTTTAGTGTCACGTTTTTCTCGCGTTGCGCATTTTCGATTATTTTTCTTTTTGGTAATTTAATACAATTTTTTCTTCCAATGGCAGCGAAAATTCAATTAAATGTAATCGCATCTATTTGCTATTTAGGCATGACTGATTGGAAGAAGAAAAAGAAAAAAGAAAATTGAATAAATAGCTAAATAAACACGCACTTTGAAAATAAATGCTAATTTCTTTTTCTCTTGTTTCAATTGACACTTCAGCGAATAAAAGTAGTACAAAATACAAAACTTTCAAGTGCGATTTTTTTCCTTTCCAAGTATCTCTTGCATATCCCTTAAAAGTGGAGGCACGTGCCATGAAAATCCTTTTAATGTGTCTCACAACTTCGAAATTCGATGAAAACCAAAAATATTTTGCCCGAATTTTCTTATGTGCAGGGTAGCTGAGTGGATTATGGGTGGTTTTTAATAAATTTATGAGCACGATATGTATATGGGATGGGGAACATTACTGCCCTGTCTCTGAATAGTAACTTGAAGTTGTAGGCTATCAAAAATATCGATTATATTTGAATAAGTTGGTAATAATAAGCTGAGCAGAGAAATATGAAATATTTTGGATGTTTCTGTAGTACAACTTATTTGAATATAGAACTTCAATAATAATTTTAGCCAAGTCTAATAATAACTTCAATATTCTCTGCTAAAAACCGTATATACAAATATAATGACGCAACGTTGTTG